GTGATTGATGAAAACTGAATATTGCTCACAAGATAACAAAGTTCTCCAAATGGCATTATCAAATAATCTGCAGTTTGTGATTGCAAAAAAAGAAACATGGGGTTTGAACCTAATGCGAGGGTTAAAAATACCACACACCAATACTTGAATTGGTTAATTGATTCAATACCTTTTCTACTAGCCGCAGCACCTCTCCAGGAGGTTTAATAGCCTCTGTTGGAAATACTGTCCTGTTTTCCTGTGTCTCCAGGAAAAAGAACAATGGCTGCATCTGGCTACTCCCAAGCCAGTCATACACCTCCTACAAGCAGTTAATAAAAAATTGCATAATATGAGCTACATGAGGGGATGTGCAGTAGCACTTTTTAAAAGCAAATCTCCTTCTCATGTTGTGGTGCTATAACTCTTATAATTTCTTAAAATATCAAAACATTTGGATTATTGTGTACATTATTTTAAAGCTGTATTTGCTTTCAAGGTTATCATGCATACTTACTTGATAGCAACTTCTCTGTGAAACGTTCTTTTGAACAAACCACTGGGCGTGTAAACTTTAATCTTTACACCATCTTTTGGTCCTTTTCTCATCCGATTTTCTCGCAAATTGCTTATTTCTTCGGCCTGTGTCAGAAACATATTTGTTTTCCATTCATTAAATCTTAAGAGCTACTTGTATCTTGAAAAAGACAACATAATGATAGAAAATGTATACCTTTGAAATATTTTTTCATCTATTTCTTCTTATATTATTATGTTTTTCCAGATCTTATTCTGAGCATGTTTGCTGGCTGGCAAAGGCTTAATTCTCTGTCTTTTCTTTCTGTAGTTGAAATGAGATATGTATAACCCCTTTATTTAACAGAAATATTTGTTTGCAGCTGGTTCAAAAAGGTTTGTATCATTTTATTTTAATGAAAGAATGATTTTAAAAAATTCAAAATTACCATTCAAATACAGTCTTAAAATTTTATTTCCCAGATATGACACATTATAAAATAAAGGCTGTATCAACCACTGTGATAATGGGTAAAACAAGATAATCTTAAATAAATGCAAATTGGACACTGTAAAGAGTTTCTTCCTCCTAGCAGTAATCAAATATGTTTAGAGACAATTGCCTTTTTAATCTTAAATAAATGTGTTAGCCCTTCATCAGAGTGACAGGTATAGTTGATTTCAAGACTTAACAGTTTTTTCTGCGATGCAAGCTTGGTTTAATTTATTTGATTACAAATTGATCCAAGTTATGGCCATTTTTGGGCAAAATGAACATTTCTTTCAGCCTGACAATTATGCAAGCCTGGGCTATTAAAATATGTCCAGCAAGTTGCTCAGTACTGTTGACAACAATTTTTTGAGCACTATTTTGACTACATGAGGTCTTTAATCAATTTTTTCCATGTATCAGACAAAATTGTACCGTATTGCAATATCATGGTGCACATAAAATTAAAGCTTTGTCCAACAAGAAAGGGACTCCAGAAAGATCTATTACCAGTTGGCATGTGCAATTTCCATGGCTTCTGCTGCCCTTTGCACCGCCTCACTTATTTGGGAAAAGTCAAAAAAAAAGCTCCCTGTAAAAAATAACAAAAAAAAGTTAATTATAATAGCTTTAGCTTTGATTTTCTTGTTTTGTATGCACTATGAGGAAATACCCATACTTTTGCATCAAGAGAGTTCCTACAGTAACCTTCAAATTTTCAGTTAATGGCTGAGGCTTTTCCAGAACAGAAGTTATCTTAGAGTAAAGCAAAACTCAATTGAATTTTTTACCTGCATATCTCTCCACAGGTGTGGGTTGGCTTGACCCCCCCATGGATGGTGTACACAGAATAATCTGAGGTACACCAAGAGTTTGGCCACCGAGTGCCTGCATGGCTAGAAACAGAAAAAAAATCATTTAATTTCCTCCTAATGGTAAGACTAGCTCGGGATCTACACAATTTATGTAAAAGCTTAATATCATTTTTGGTGTTTGGTTACTGCATTTCCTTGAATAAGTGCCCATGCCCTAATAAATGCCCCCTCCTCTGAATAAAAAGCCACCCCCTGGGCCTAAATGTCAAATAAGTCCCCCCCCTCAATTTCTTAAATTAGCAGGGATACAGGGAAAACCTGTTTTTATGGCCAATTTATTTAACCTACAACTTCAGCAGAATCAGTAAAGAAAAGTACTTCCTTTTCCTTTACTCACTTCTATTTATTTCCATCATCATGTGCTTACAGAGTTCTTTTCTGTGCATTATCTGTTCTTTTCATTTTTGTCCTATTTCCCTGCCTTTGGTAAATGCTCTAGCCTTGCCAGGCTCAACTACACTATTCTCTATTCTACAGAGACCTGTAATTTCATTGATTATAAAGTTATTGGGATGCATTTGAAGAAAACAGTTGATAAATAATGACAGTTCAGTTAATACTGACTTAACATCTACATGAATAACAGTATAGCATTTTATTTTCTGTTTAAGATTTAGTTGAAATAAAGATACAGTTTGTTGAAAGGAAAACTTATCTCAATTAAGCACCTTCCTTCAAATAAGCACCTCCCCTTTTAGCTGATAATTTTAAATAAGTGCCCGGGCACTTGTTCAGGGAAATACTGTAGTTTATTAGTGGTCCTATATCATGTATGTACCTTCTTTTCCATCCAGACAATTTGGTTGACAAATGTAAATACACACGGGAAATGTTGTATTGTTTTTTGGGTTCCCAGTAGTAGCGAAAACTAATACCCCTGAAATTAAGTCACTGTCTGCGACATTTGCCCATCCAATAGCTCACATGAACCATTGGAAAAATACAAAGAAGGAAAAACACAAAGAAAATTGTTTACACAGGAGCAGCACCGAGAACCTCAAGGCTTTTCGAGTAATACATAGACTACGTTTTCAAGGTCAGTGTTTTCGAGGTCTGCTTTTTTCAACGTCTGACAGAGGTCAACGGGACACCAAGCAGGTAGTGGGAAATCTGATTTGTTTGTGTAATATAACATCAGAGGTAATGTGTTTCAGGGAAATCCGAGCGACCCTAACCATCTGAAATTGCTTCAAATCGGGCAGCGGAGCGAGCGTACAACAAAGAAAACAAAACAGTTTTATAACAAGTTGATATTATTCAGAGAAAAAAAAGGAAATTGACTGAGAACAGGATACCACGAAAAGAACAGTGACATTTGAAACGATGTGTGATAAACAGAACTTGCAAATCTCGCGAGGTGCATGTACAAGCAGTATCCTTACGAGTCCCAAACGCGAAATAGATGGAGTCAATCAGCTATCGGAACTTACGACATCCTGGCATAAATTTGTTCCCTTTTCAGTTCTCGGCTTATCCTGGGTGCCTCGGGTAGTCTTTATTTTGACGCGCGCGAAAAGCCTCTGGAAAGGAGCGCTGTTCCTTTAATAGAAGGCGGCTTCTGACCAGTCAATGTCTCGAGAGGGTCGCAGGCTCAAGTATTTTCAAAAATCATTTATTGTAGGTGGTTTTAAGTTGTTTTAGGTAGCTGTAGGTGGTTTTAGGTGGTTGTAAGTGGTTCTAGGTGGTTGTAGGTCATTCCATGTTTTAGTACTTACGTTTCTGGAGACTGTGTCCGGCCGCCGGGCAGTTAGTCCGTTTTCAACTTGTTTTCTGTCCCCAGAGTTTTAAAATTTTATTTTGAAACTGCATTTCAAAACTTTCAAAACAAGTTTCCTTTCACTCAGCGCAGTGAAGAGAAGGTACTCGGGAAATTTTGTGATCAAATTACGACATCTGTCTTATTATACAGGAACATCGTCTAGTCCATTTTTTCTGTATATTTAGAAATCTCTCAAAACTTATTCGCTCGTGCAAAAGATATGGCTTGCAAATAGCAAGGAACGGCAATATTAGAGGTGTCTTGGTGAATTCCTGTATAATGAGACAAAGTTGCAAAGTAAGCTACACAAAGTTGCAGCTTCCTCAAATTGTTATCGCACAGCCAGTTGCAAACGTAAAATTTTTCACACCAAATTGTCAGTACGATTCCATCCATATAGATTGTAATTAAAAGGCCGATAACAGCGCTGTGTTGACATTTTATATATGTATCGTTTAGCTAAAAACTTTGATTGAGTGGGCTAGATCACAGGAGATGTTATGCTAAAACGCAGACTGCAGACTACAGACTGCAAACTGTGCAGACCGCGAAGACCGTGCAGACCGCGATTTGTTGGCTCCAGAATTTCGATTGTTTCATTTCGCGAGATACTGACAAATTCATTCATGACCTACATGTATCACGCAATCGACTTCGATAGGTATCCAATTTTACGGTATTATGCGGTTATTTTCAGCTTGAGAAAAAAATGACGTTTTCTCGCTTATGAAATTTTATTTTACCCCTCAGTGGACGTGAAATGAAAGTAAAAAAAAAATTGATTTGTGTTTATGAGTAATAGTTTGTCATGTATGCGACAAGTTTTTGCTTATGGGAGACAAGAAGGAAAGCGGAATAGCGAAAAATTGTGGAAACTCCATTCGGAATGAAAAGTTGGTTGCACGTCGCTTCCTCGAATAATTGCAAGATAATGTTCTCTTGTTATTTGGTTTCTATTTAGAGGGAGCCGGGAACTCAACAGGCTCACCCAAGCAAGGGTATCAATTTTGGCCGGCCGCGCGCAAATATCCCAAGCAAAATTTTAAACAAAAACAAAGGTAGCAACCGCTCTCACGGAAACTATGCCAAGAAAATTAAACGTTCATAAAAAGTAGAGAAAGCAGAACTCGACACTCTTCGAGCACAAAACTTATTCAATGACGGGTATCCTGATTATTTACCATTTTGTTTTAGGCTATATCATTTTAGGCTATATAAAAGTCATGAGGTTCTACAAAACACCGTGACTTATTGGATTTAATGTAAGTTTACAACTCTTAGAGGGCAAGTTGGTTCTGAAATCCTGGAACAACATGCACAGACATTTGGTCATTGCTTTGAACATGCTAATAATGGCTATGTATTTTTTAGGTCTCAAGTGATGGCAGCAAAAAGCGGTCACATGAAAATCTCTGGTGATAAAGATAAAAAAGTCAGTTTTGTATCTTCACTTTTTTTTCGTTGGATGAACGAAGTCCTTAAAAAGGGCAGTCAAAGACCTTTGGATGAAAATGACTTTTTACCCTTGTCAGACGAGAACTCTGGCCGTTTTGTCACCGACAAGCTTAAAAAAATCTGGGAGAGCGAGAAACATCATTGCAAGATGAATGGGAAAAGGCCCAAACTTTGGAAAAGCGTGTTTGATATGCTTTCTGCCAAAGATGTTATCATCATTTTGATGGGGAATATATTGTGTACAACTTCTCGCCTTCTCTTTCCACTGTTTCTCTGGTATCTTGTTTCTAAGCTTATGTCAACTGAGGCAGAGAATACTTATCGGCTCTACGCCTGCGCATTAGCTATGTGTCTCAATGGTTTGATCGGTGGTCTTGGTATGCACCAGGACGGCTACAGATGTGAAATATTGGGGATCAAAATAGGAAGCGCCCTGAGGGGACTGGTGTACCAAAAGGTAGGCACGATCCTAAAGAGTATTCTATGCACTTGTCATATGCTCAACTGATTTTTCTTATACCCTAAACACCCCAAACTAAGCCGAAAAAACACCTTTATCTATCCGATCCAGAAAGATTTTTTCCAGAAATCTGATCAATTGTAATCAGCTTATGCCATATGGAGACCCTGAAGGAGAGAGTGATTGAACATGATTGCTGGTGCTTCTGCGAGAGTAAGCAATCCCGCTCACCAACAAAAAAAATCGAAGAAACAAACAGTTATGTAGCCTGCAGTTAACGGGGAAGTAGGCTACAAAAACCATAACGCATAAGGCCACGCTTCTTAGCGAGATTCAAAATGGCGCCTTAGTTGTGGCTTTTTTTCACATTTCAAGATAATTTGTTAGAGGTTTGTTTACTCTCGTCTCGAAACGCAGGAACGGATGTCTTTATGCCGTAAATTAAAATCATATGGTTTAAGGAACATACTTCTTTAATGTCTAATCTGTACTCTCTTTCAGACGCTTCTTCTCAACAAGCAGACGTTACTGAAATTCACTGCAGGACGCTTATTTGACCTGATATCCAATGATGTTAAAAGATTGGAAGAAGAGACAGTCAGGTTTTTTGTCTCAGCCGTTTTCGCAGTCCCTGCTTATATAGGGGCAATATTCCTCATCTACAATTTGATTGGCTGGCAGGCTGTTATGGGTGTGTTCCTTCTGTGTACTCTTATGCCATACTTTACCGTCTTGTCCTATGTTAATGCTAAGCTGCGCTTGCGCACAGCTACAGTGTCCGATCAGCGAATCTCCTTAATGAATCAAGTAGTTTCCGGGATCCGCGCGGTCAAAACGCATGCGTGGGAGGACGAATATAGACGAAAGATTAAACATGTAAGAAGGTAAGGTAAATTGTCAGTTTTCATCAGTAGTAGGCTAAAACAACTATCTTTATTCATCCCCTTAATTATTGACCTAAACTATTCAAAATCCACAAATATGTTTTGTCTCCACTGAGAGCTTTATTAGCTAAGTAGTTCAAACAAAAAAAAAAAGTGTTTCATGTAACCCATTTCATAACCGGAGGACTGGCCGGTCAGTTAATAAATATCAGTATCTACTGAGTAAAAAGTGTTGAAAGTGCACTCTGATTGGCTACTCAAACTCCGAATATCCTTTGCGATTCATCTTGAGTCTAATTTGAGTTCAGTTGATATTTTTTACTTTTCATAAGCTTATCGTTCATTATCATAGGATCTCATTGCAAATTTGACGCAGTTGATTTATTTTTTCATACGCTGTCAAAATGAAGTGAACGATGAGGAAGGGTGCGCTTGCTGCCCGCTCACCTCCTTTATATTTCAAATTAGAGAGAACACAGAGGACGAATTGGTTCGACAGAATGCCCACATAACTAATGAACAACTTTTATCTACAGAAATGAAATCAGGGTCATTTCGAAGAGGACAGCCATTCAGTCAAGGATTGATGCCTTGTTATACAGTGCAACGCCACTGGCCACTCTGGTGTCAGTAATTATTATGGTACTTACAGGCCAGACCCTCACGCCCGCCAATGTTTTCATGCTGCTGTCGTTTTTGGGTGTTATAAAATTTTGTGGTATGGTGAATATGACATCAGGTTTAATGGTAACGTATGACGCCTACGTTTCGCTCGGAAGAATCGAAGAATTCCTTCTTCTGGAAAATCTGTTGCAAGCCTCGGAGAGTGATGTAAGCAACGAGCCTCAACAAAAAGCGGAAAGTACCGCAACTTACTTAAGTCGCAGTTACTTGAAAAAAGAAGCGGGAAATACGGAGAAAGTTTCCCTCTCTCGTGAATCAAGAGAATTAGGGCCTACTATATTATGTGCGTCAAATTTAAGCTACGCAAAAACGCATCATGAAGAGGAATTTATTCTTGAGGATATCAACTTCTTTGCACCTTCAAAGAGTTTAACAGTCATCACCGGACCGGTTGGAAGTGGTAAGTCTACTCTGCTCTCAGTGATCGCTGGTGAAATTTCGAACACCAGTGGGACGATTGATTATGAAGGTTCTGTCATTTACTTGCCTCAGACTGCTTGGGTGTTCTCGGGAACGATAAAAGAAAACATTCTGTTTGGTCAACCCTTCGAGGAGTCCAAGTATGAAAGAATAATCGACGTCTGCGCTCTGAAAGAAGACTTCCAGCGGTTACCTGATGGTGACCAAACAGTTGTTGGAGAACGCGGAGAGGTTCTGAGTGGAGGACAACAGGCGAGAGTAAGTTTAGCTCGTGCAGTTTATTCTGACGGAGATATTTATCTATTGGATGATTCACTGAGTGCTGTTGATTTTAAAGTTGGCCAACACATCTTTAACAAGTGCATCAAAGATCTACTTGGCGATAAAATCGTTCTGTTTGCCTCTCATCAGCAACAGCACATGGAAAATGCTGATGAAGTGATTGTGTTGTACAAAGGGCGTATGCTCGACAAGGGACGCTTTACTGAGCTGCACGAAGAAGGTGTTATCAATTCAACTGCTGACCCGCTTTATAAAGCAGCTCTGAAGGACAAAACGGACTCATCTGAGCCGTTCTGCTGGGAAGATAAGGAGGAACACGATGATGCTGAAAAATGCCAGAAAATACATCCTCTGCCCAATGAAGCGAAGAGTTTGGAGACAGAAAAGGAGGATCGTACAATCGGAGTTGTGACATTCAGGCTTTATTGGGACTATTTCAGAAGTGGAGCACATCCTTTGATGCTAACTGGAATGGTTGGTTTAAGTCTCATTACTCAAGGTAAACTTATTGTTAGGCTGAGTTACAAACCTTGGGTCAGGCCTTAACAGGGAATACAGCAACCTTTTTTCTATATTTCTTTTCTTCTATTCTTTTATTTTCTTTTGTGCAAATCATTTCACAATGGCTATGCTTTTAACCAAGAATAAACGTTCTTTTTAGATTAGCAGGTAGCGTTGAGAGACACTACGCAAACTTCTGACCATGTTCCCGATATCTCACTTTCTTGCACAAGCGCGAGTGAATGGCGGGTTACGCGCGAAAGGAAGAGCTGGTGTTTTTCTCCTCGCGTTTGCCTTACACTTGCCTCCACGCGCATGAAAAGGTCAAAAAACCACTCGCTCTACAGACTAACTTTCTGAGACCAAAAGCAGTTTCTTAACAATATTTATGTGTAACATGGTTGACTTCTTAATTTATTCTGTGACGTTGTGGTGCTTGCATAAACATCCCCAAGACATTAACGGTAGTAGGTAATCCAGGCGAGTTGTGTCTAGGCCCAATAAATCTTACAATGTTCAACTAAATGATTATAGAAAAGTACTTTTCAACCACTGCATATTAATGATGTTTCTTTCAGCCATCATAGCTGCTCCAGACTTGTGGCTTTCGTTTCTTGCAAGGCTAAACCCAGAGGATCAGAATAACAAGACTTATCTATCTGTCTTCGCCTGTCTGGTTGGCGCGTGTTTTATATTTACTATCGTTCGGGCTTATGGATTCTTCCATGTTTGTCTGAAGTGTGCCGAGCGTCTTCACGATAAAATAGTTGTGGCCATTTTACAAGCACCTGTCCTGTTCTTTGATTCTAATCCAGTGGGAAGAATCCTAAATCGCTTCTCCAATGATATTGGCTGCCTAGATGAGTTGTTACCCAAAACATTCCTGGCGGCAATGCAGATGCTCTTGGTGATATTTGCCCAAATTCTGGTAACAGTTGCCACAAATGTTTGGCTCATGTTTCTTGTTGTTCCAATTTCCATGTTGGTCGTTTTTCTAGCCAATTATTACTTGAAGACTGCCAGAGAACTAAAGAGGTTAGAGTCGATATCCCGAAGCCCAGTGTTCGCTCATTTTTCGGAGACCCTGATAGGACTGGACACGATTCGTACGAGAGGAAGACAGACAGATTTTGTGGATGCACTTTACAGGTATGTTAGAGACATTGATTCAGTTTGTGGTGTCAGAGCTGATAAATGCACAGGACAAAAATGACTCATAATCGCTCGTTTTCTGTGAGCTATTTTTTTTTTAATTTGCCGGCAATACGCGAAATGGCATCACGTGTCTTTTGTAATCCTATCCGGTACGTGCTGAGACACTGGTCAGCAAGTGGACCTTTCGGTACGAGGCACGGTCGCGAAACGAAGCTATCCGAAAGAGTCACGAGGGGTATTACCAGTTGTGAGACTACAGTTATTGCTCTGTACGGTTTCATCCTTCTGATAGGGTTTCAACAGTCGCATAATATAAACCGTCAATCAACAAGATTGCTTGACGTAGAAATTTCACAATTAGTCGAAACTATAACAAATGTATGGAACGTATAAGCGATGTTAGTTTCTTTCTCTAATTTTGCCACAGTTTTGATCAATTGGTAAGAGAACGTCATGTCGTGCAATTCTGCCTTTATTAAAAAAAACTCCCGCCTCGCAGTCGTCCCCTTTTGTTAATCAATCGTATGATTACTGCCGAATTGGACTCCACTCAGTCCTATTACCATTATGAGTTTAATTAACAGGAAATACAGACGAGTGCCCCTCGTCTTCTACTTCTGATAAATGTTATACTTAGCATACAAGATGTAGTTGTGATATTTGACAATTAAGAACTGGTATGTTTTTGGCGAATTTACCATTTTCCCATACCATATCGTTAAGAAACTCGGCTCTAGCGGCTCTCACTTCATCTGGACGAATGAAGCATACCTAAGAATGAGATGTGGTTACGGAAATGATCTTTCGAATACTTAGCAAGAAGCTTACGGATGTTCCTTGGAGAGTAAAATCTTTTTGAGGGGCTGGGGCGTCGGGCGGAATTTGTTGAAGGGCTCTGTTACATTGTCAGGCCAAAGGAGACACTAGTCTCACTTCAGTGTGCAGACCCGATGTAATCTCTTTGAGGTCTTTTTAGAGTGATTGTCGTAAGGAAAATATTATTTTATAATAACAAGCCAATCAAAACAAAAGAAAAGATCACAAGTAGTGACAGAGGACTTCACTCAAAAACAAGGAAACGGCATTGAACACTGAGAAACGCGTTCGACCAACAGGCGGTTGGTCTTGTGCAAGTTTGCTGGACCAATCACCAATCAAAGTAATACAAAGCTGATACAACCCGGTTTATTTTCGACAGTCAACTAAAAAATAACTCCATTATTAAAACTTATTGTGATAAAAACTTGTCCCCTCAGATATCAAGATGTTCATAATCAGGCGTATATTATGGTGATGGCCAGCGGTAGGTGGCTCGGTGCACGTTTGGATTGTCTCGCTTCCTTGTTAGTCGGTGCAGTTGCTGTGGCTGCTATCTTGGTATCTCAAGATGCCGGTAAGCTCAAGATTCTTAGTAACATTTTTGAGTCTTTCTATGTAAAGTAAGAATCTATATAGTCGTGTATTAATACGGCATGAACAAATGAATAATAAAATAGGTGTGATTATACGTGCTCTCTCATGAACGGGTGGTTTCTAATCACGACAGAAACGTGAGAATCAACTCGGTGGCGTGGTGTCTTCTATGATTCAAAACAGGAAAATTGTGCTGATAACTCCTCTGCGCCTACTAAGCTCGGAGTCAAAACAACGATACTGAGAAAGATGTAAAAAAGACGCTTTATTTATTCCTTCTTATTAAGTGACTGCCTGGACTAGGCTAGGTAACCTAGCCTTGTAAAGCTTTCGTTATATGTTTTGAGCTATCGCGAAAAAACAGGTCCGGAATTTATAGACTTAAGTTCTAATTTTTCTTTTCAGCTTACGCTGGTCTCGCTCTTGTTTACGTCATCCAAACTCTGAGCGCGACTCAATACGCTGTTAGAAAAACGTCTGAAGTTGAAAACTACATGACGTCAGTTGAGCGAGTTATGACCTACACCCAACTCGATCAGGAGCCTGGATACGAAGAAGAACGAACACCGCCAAAAGACTGGCCTCGGAGAGGAAGTATTGTGTTGAGAGATGTATCATTGACGTACTATCCGGGGGGACCTCAAGTGCTGAAGAACATCAATCTTAGCATCAAAGGAGGAGCAAAGATCGGAGTTGCCGGCCGTACGGGAGCTGGGAAGTCATCTTTTGTAGCAGCTCTCATGCGCATGCCTGATGCTGATGGAGAGATAGTCATCGACGATGTTCCAATTAAAGAGATGGGCCTCCAACAAGCTCGACGAGGTATCTCAGTTCTTGGCCAAAGTCCTGTTCTTTTTAGCGGATCTTTGAGGAAAAATCTCGATATTTTAGACAAGTTTCGAGACGCTGAATTATGGCAGGCTTTAGAGGATGTGCAACTGAAAGAATTTGTCGAGAGGCTTGAGGCCAAGCTGGATCACGAACTGCTGGAACATGGTGCTGATGTCAGTGTTGGAGAGCGGCAGTTAATTTGCTTGGCTCGTGTGCTGCTACAGCGAAGTAAAATCGTCGTCTTGGACGAGCCAACTGCGCATGTTGACCCAGACACAGAGCAGACTATTTGGAATGTAGTTCGTGACAAACTGAAGGAGTCGACTGTCATCACTATAGCTCACCGTTTGAACACGATAAAAGACTGCGAGAAGATTTTGGTCTTGAAAGATGGAAAAGTTAAAGGGTTTGACAATTTTGACTCAATAATGAACATTAAGTGAGATGCGATCTTAGGTTGAAATACCTCGAATGTCACGCAGGTATGATCCTGCAGAGCTCAAGATATTATACATTTATAATCTTTTCTAGAGCTGGCATTTGATGTTATTGTTCGGTTTTGGCTCCTTTATACTTCTATGCATCTTTAAAATCTCTCTCGCTGTCATGTTTCGCAGTGTCACGCAACGTCCAATTTGCCCTGGTTCTGTCTAGTATTAGATCACAGACGAAGTCATAATGTGGTAAGAACAGCAAAACGGCACACTAGGCGCAGGCGTGTCACTGATGTTCCAACTGCTTTATGACGTCCTCTGTGATATATTAATGAACAGACCCACCGTAGCATAGATTACATTTGTTTTATGTAATAGACAAAGCAAATTTTTTTTGACGTGGACGTCACTTATCCGTCTGTTCCCCAACTGATCATAAGTAAAAGACCAATGGAGATGCGAGCGCCACTTACCACCCAACGCAATGCGTACAAGAAACAAGATAACAGTTTATTCAGAAATAGGAAACTGTTCGGCAGCCTAGCTATGTCCAGATTTAGGGTCCGATATCAGAGAGTAACAAGTTGTCATGTCAACATTCACTTTGGGTATAAATTTAGATCTCCTCGGATGAGCATGTCAGCGTTCACGTTGGGTATAAATTAAGATCTTATCGGACAAGCGGGAAGAATGAGGGGAGATGCAGGTTATATGTGGAAACATCAAATGTTACTCACATAATCAAATAATTACCTGAATTAAAAGTTATATTTGAATAACCTACTTCCTTGAATTGTGCTCCAGAAATAGTAAATGGTATTGAAGAGAAAGGAAGAAAGTTCTTAAAACATTCTATGTTAAATAACACTTTGTTACGAATGTTAATTGCGACGACAATCAAAACATTTGTCAAGCTATAATAACAATTACCTTTCCATGTAAAAAAACCATAATGAAACATGACATGAATAAATTAATCTCACCCAGTTTGAATGTAGAATCCAAAATCTAATTAACTCACTGGTGAATAGGAAAAAGCTTAAAGCATTTTAACTGCTTCTGTCATTCTAAATATTACAAATCAGTTATGCCACCAATTAATCCTTTAACCCCTAAGAGTGACTAGCATCTAATTTCTCTCTATCATTCATTAAAGTCATGAGAATAAAAGAAATGATCACCAAAACACGAAATTGCGTAGCAAACGATCATTGATATTGCTGAAAGAGCAGTATTTAACAAGGAACACTGCTTTATCGGTTTATATCGCATCTACAGTCCAGTGATAGCCTTTTTTGGAAAAGCTGACACGTAATTTCATTTTGAAAGGATTTGCGAAAGTACTGATAAATCATCAGCGAACGCGAAGAGCCTGATTTTCCGGCCTAAGGTTAACACTAGCAACTTCATTTGCCCGAAACTAACAACTGCGGCTAATTCATAAGCAGCCTACCCAGATAGCCTAACCGGTTTTAAGCCTGTGCGCATCTGCTCGTCTACGATTAATGAAAATGACCTTGCGCCTCTTTTTCTCCCTTCAAAAAGAAGCTTGGGTTGCATGAAGTTGGCGGGCCGCTCAATACATTTTATCCTTTGTTTTCTCGATCAAAATAATTTGCGCCCCTGTAGATCGCTGAAGAAGCAGTAGAATACGAATACTTTTCACATAATGACCATAATGAACACCAACTCCAAGTGTCAATACCAACCAACTAATTAGACAGCCTCTTTCTATGCATGATTATGTATCAAGCTCTCTCTCATTGCATACTACGCTTTTTTTTAAAGAATAGTACAATTTTTCATCAGAAAAAACAATAATACAATAATTACAAAAACAATACCATAATAATCTAATAATATTAACGAGATAAGGCATTAATACATTTACTTAGAAAACTTAAAATACTACAATTAATAAAATAAAATCTACAAGTAGCTTCTATTAATGTTTAAAATGCGTAATAAATACTATTTAAAAACTTAACTAGTTGGGTCTCTACTGTCTTCAGGGTTTGATTGTAAGTTCACTGGTTTGATTGCTTTTACATATTATTAATAAGTCATCTTGGTACCTGTGCTTTTTATCTGTAGATACCTTGATTATTACAAAGCAAAGCCAAGTGGAAACCATCAACTGTACAAAGTTGGCAGCAATTTATCTGCAGATTTAATCCGCAAATAATATAAACAGGCCAGCACTAGGGTGTTCCTGTATGGACCTTGCTGCACTCAGTCTATACTGCCACATCTGCAGATAATATTGGAATATTAATTGACTTTGGTAGACATTAAAGAAATTAAAGAATGTCCTCATCATTTCGAAGTTCAGGTCATCAGTTTTTCAAACTTCTATAATCAGGATGACCACAAAAATAGTGTGGTCAATAGCCATGACTTAATTGAAGAAATACAAGTTAATAACATTACTTACTAGTTTAACAATACTTTAAAAATTCAATTTAGCAGATGATGGTAACAAGAGCATTTTTAGTTTGACGTTCATTGAGCCGTGGAAGGCTAGATTTGTGAAAAATACGAAAATTTTTCTGGTTTAAAACTAATGCACAAGCATATAATATTCGTACATTTTATGTGTTTCGGCTTTCAATTATTAGCTTTTGTAACCACGTGTGCCAGGTACACAAAGTTCAAGAGTTTGCTACACAAAGGTATAACATAACTAGTGGCTAGATTCTATGTGCATACTACGGTAAAATTTCCGCACAGCCCCATACTATTGTAAAACAAATCTGTTTTCCCAATGGCAATGTACTGTTTTTGTCAGTTGTTTTCTCTATCCAAGAACTGAATGCATAATGTAGTATGGGGCTGTGCGGAAATTTTACTCATACTACGAGCAGAGATAACCCTACCTAAACAGTCATAACCTCCAAATCAGTGCTTGCTTCAATACTTGCGAAGCAGTGGTGCTTAACGTTTTTGAAAACTAAGTGAATAACTACCCCTAGCCAACGGTGTACCGTGGGAGGTCTGGGACGGAGTCAACCCTGGATAGTGTGACTCGGAATTGAGGAATTAATCAAACTCGATCAGACACTCGATTAGTGATGAAGGTTATTATAGGTCTCAATTAATAATGTTGGGCTCGACGATAAGTCGAAATTCATTTAGTAAATACAGACATGGGAAATAATATCAGACACGGAAAATACCAGACAATGAGGAGGTCTGATAGAGGCAAACAATAACGGACCCTGTTAATTGATTTCCGACACGAAAACTAATTTTTCGATAGGGAAAATACCCTGACTTAATTTTGAACGGTTTGTTACGCCACCTAAAACTATGGCGTAACATACCGTTGAAAATTCAGTCAGGGTATTTTCCCTATCGAAAAATTAAATACAGACAATTTGGTTGACAAATGTAAATACATACGGGAAATGTTGTATTGTTTTTTGGGTTCCCAGTAGTAGCGAAAACTAATACCCCTGAAATTAAGTCACTGTCTGCGACATTTGCCCATCCAATGGCTCACATGAACCATTGGAAAAATACAAAGAAGGAAAAACACAAAGAAAATTGTTCACTCAGGAGCAGCACCGAGAACCTCAAGGCTTTTCGAGTAATACATAGACTACGTTTTTAAGGTCAGTGTTTTAGAGGTCTGTTTTTTTCAACGTTTGACAGAGGTCAACGGGACACCAAGCAGGTAGTGGGAAATCTGATAAGGTTGTGTAATATAACATCAGGGGTAATGTGTTTCAGGGAAATCCGAGCGACCCTAACCATCTGAAAATTACTTCAAATCGGGTAGCGGAGCGAGCGCACAACAAAGAAAACAAAACAGTTTTATAATAAGTTGGTATTATTCAGGGAAAAAATGAAATTGACTGAGAACAGGATACCACGAAAAGAACAGTGACATTTGAAACGATGTGTGATAAACAGAACTTGCAAATCTCGCGAGGTGCATGCATCCTTACGAGTCCCAAACGCGAAGTAGATCGAGTCAATCAGCTCTCGGAACATACGACATGCTGGCATAAATTTGTTCCCTTTTTAGTTCTCGGCTTACCCTGGGTGCCTCGGTTAGTCTTTATTTTGACGCGCGCGAAAAGCCTCAGGAAAGGAGCGCTGTTGATTTAATAGAAGGCGGCTTCTGACCAGTCAATGTCTCAAGAGGGTCGCAGGCTCAAATATTTTCAAAAATCATTGATTGTAGGTGGTTTTTAAGTTGTTTTAGCTAGCTGTAAGTGGTTTTAGGTGGTTGTAAGTGGTTCTAGGTGGTTGTAGGTCATTCCATGTTTTAGTACTTACGTTTCTGGAGACTGTGTCCGGCCGCCGGGCAGTTAGTCCGTTTTCAACTTGTTTTCTGTCCCGATAGTTTTAAAATTTATCGTGAAACTGCATTTCAAAACTTTCAAAACAAGTCTCCTTTCACTCAACGTGGTGAAGAGAGGGCTCTCGGGAAATTTTGTGATCCTCTCGTTTCAAATTACGACGTCTTTCTTATCATACAGGAACATCTTCTAGTCTATTTTTTTGTATATTTAGAAATCTCTCAAAACCTATTCGCTCGTGCAATAGATATGGCTTGCAAATAGCAAGGTACGTCAATATTAGCGGTGTCTTGGTGAATTCCTGTATAATGAGACAAAGTTGCAGGGTAAGCCACACAAAGTTGCAGCTTCCTCAAACTGTTATCGCACAGCCACTTGCAAACGTAAAATTTTTCACACGAAATTTTCAGTACGATTCCATCCATAACGATTGTAATTACAAGACCGATAACAGCGCTGTGTTGGCATTTCATACATGTATTGTTCAGCTAAAAGCTTTGATTGAGTGGGCTAGATCACAGGAGATGTTATGCTAAAACGCAGACTGCAGACTGCAGACTGCAAACTGTGCAGACCTTACAGACCGTGCAGACCGCGATTTGTTGGCTCCAGAATTTCGACTGTTTCATTTTGCGAGACACTAACAAATTCATTCATGACCTATCACGCAGTCGACTTCGATAGGTATCCAATTTTACGGTATAATGCGGTTATTTTCAGCTTGAGAAAAAAATGACGTTTTCTCGCTTATGAAATTTTATTTTACGCCTTAGTGGACGTGAAATGAAAGTAAAAATGCCAAGATAATTGAACGTTCATAAAAAGTAGAGAGAGAAAAACTCGACACTCTTCGAGCACAAAGCTTATTCAATGACGAGTATCCTGATTATTTACCATTTTGTTTTAGGCTATATCATTTTAGGCTATTTAAAAGTCATGAGGTTCTACAAAACACCGTGACTTATTGGATTTTATATAAGTTTACAACTCTTAGAGGGCAAGTTGGTTCCGAAATCCTGGAACAACATGCAAAGACATTTGGTCATTGCGTTGAACATGCTAATAATGGCTATGTATTTTGTAGGTCTCAAGTGATGGCAACAAAAAGCGGTTACATGAAAAACTCTGGTGATGAAGATAAAAAAGTCAGTTTTGTATCTTCACTTTTTTTTTTCGTTGGATGAACGAAGTCCTTGAAAAGGGCAGTCAAAGACCTTTGGATCAAAATGACTTTTTATCCTTGTCAGACGGGAACTCTGGGCGTTTTGTCACCGACAAGCTTCGAAAAAGCTGGGAAAGCGAGAAACATCATTGCAAGGTGAATGGGAAAAGGCCTAAACTTTGGAAAAGCGTGTTTGATATGCTTTCTGCCAAAGATGTTATCATCATTTTGTCGGGGTATATATTGTGCACAACCGCTCGCCTTCTCTTTCCTCTGTTTCTCGGGTATCTTGTTTCTGAGCTAATGTCAACTGAGGTAGAGAATACTTATCGGCTCTACACCTGCGCATTAGCTATGTGTCTCAATGGTTTGATTAGTGGTTTTGGTATGCACCAGCGAGACTACAGATGTGAGATATTGGGATCAAAGTAGCAAGCGCCCTAAGGGGACTGGTGTACCACAAGGTAAGCACGATCCTAAAGAGCATTCTTTACATTTTTCAAAGGCTCAACCGATTTTTCGAATACCCTAAACACCCCATATTAAGCCGAACAAACTTGAACACAGGTATCTATCCGATATAGAATGATTTTTCTAGAAAGCTGATCGACTGCAATCGGCTTATGCCATGGAGACCTAGAAGGAGAGGGTTATTAAACATCATCGCTGGTTGCTGCTTCTGCGGGAGCAAGCAATCCTGCTCACCAACAAAAGAATGGAAGAAACAAACAGTTGTTTAGCCCGCAGTTAAGCAGGCTACAGAAACCATAACGTATACGGCCGCGCTTCTGAACGAGACTCAAAATGGCGCCTGAGTTGTCGCTCTTTTTACACATTTAAAGATAATTTGGTAGAGGTTTGGTTACTCTCGTCTCGAAACGCAGTCACGAATATCTTTATGCAGGAGATTAAGCTTAGATGGTTTTTATGGAACTTATTTCGTCTTTAATGTCTAACCTGTACTTTCTTTCAGACGCTTCTACTCAGTAAGCAGACGTTACTGAGATTCACTGCAGGACGCTTATTCGATCTGATATCCAATGATGTTAAAAGAATGGAAGAAGAGACAGTCAAGTTTTTTTTCTCAGCCGTTTTCGCAGTCCCTGTTTATGCAGGGGCCACATTCCTTATTTACAATTTGATTGGTTGGCAGGCTGTTACAGGTGTGTTCTTCCTGTGTATTCTCATGCCATACTTTGCCGTCTTGTCCTATGCTAATGCTAAGCTGCACTTGCGCACAGCTGCAGTATCCGATGAACGAATCTCCCTAATGAATCAAGTAGTTTCCGGGATCCGCGCGGTCAAAATGCATGCGTGGGAAGACGAATATGGACCGAAGATAAAAAATGTGAGAAGGTAAGGTAATTATCATTTTTATTCAGAAGTGGGCTCCAACAACTAGCTTAATTCATTCCCGTAATTGTAATTCATTCCCGTAATTGTTGACCCAAATTATTCAAACCTCGGAAATAGATAACCACAAATCTGTTTGTCTCCACTGAAAGCTTCAATAGCTAGGCAGTTTAAACATGCCCCCCCCCTCCAAAATAAAGTCTTTGGACCGCTGTATGAGCCAAGCAGAATGCCCCTTTTCAAGAATATTAAGTGTCTCTTGTAACCCATATCATAACCGAAAAACTGGCCGGTCAGTTAAAAAATACCAGTATATACTGAGTAGATAGTGCTAAAAGTGCACTCTGAAGATGATTGGCTACTCAAACTCCGAATAGCCTTTGCAATTCACCTTCGAGCGACTCGCGCGGGAGTTGCGCCCGAAAATATTGTAATCGTTTTTACCTCAGTGTCGGTGAAAGGTGGGGATATCACCTCCACCTCAGAGAATAATCGATCATTATTATAGGTAGAACATCTCGTCGAGTCTAACTTGTCTTCACGTTATATACGCTGTTTTAAGGGTGCACTTGCCGCTCGCTCACCTCGTTAATATTTCAAGTTAAAGAGAACACTGACGACGAGCTGGTTCGACAGAATGCCCACATAACTTATGATAACCTTCTATCTTCAGAAATGAAATCAGGGTCATTTCGAAGAGGACGACCATTCAGTCAAGTATCGATGCCTTGTTATACAGTGCAACGCCACTGGCCACTCTGGTGTCAGTAATTACTATGGTACTTACTGGTCAGACCCTCACGCCCGCCAATGTTTTTATGCTTCTGTCGTTTATGAGTGTTATAAAATTGCGTGGCACGTTGAATATGACATATGGTTTAATGGTAACGCATGACGCCTACGTTTCGCTCGGAAGAATCGAAGAATTCCTTCTTTTGGAAAATCTGTTAAAAGCCTCGGAGAGCGATGAAAGCAACGAGCTCCAACAAAAAACGAAAATGACCTTAACTAACCAAAGTCCCAGTTACTTGAAAAAAGAAGAGGAAAATATGGCGAAAGTTTCCCCGTCTCGTGAAGCAACAGAAATAGGACCTATTCTACGTGTGTCAAATTTAAGCTACGCAAAAACGCATCGTGAAGATGAATTTATTCTTGAGGATATCAACTTCTTTGCACCTTCAAAGAGTTTAACAGTCATCACCGGCCCGGTTGGAAGTGGTAAGTCTACTCTGCTCTCAGCGATCGCTGGTGAAACTTCGAACGTCGGTGGGACGATTGATTATCAAGGCTCTGTCATTTACTTGCCTCAGACTGCTTGGGTGTTCTCGGGAACGATAAAAGAAAACATTCTGTTTGGTCAACCCTTCGAGGAGTCCAAGTACGAAAGAATAATCGACGTCTGTGCTCTGAAAGAAGACTTTGAGCCGTTACCTGATGGTGATCAAACAGTTGTTGGAGAATATTTTGCCAGTCGAAGATTAACTCAGTCCACGGTTTTAAACAGCTCCTTTATTGAATAATGCGTCTGTCTCACAGTTCTTCTGAAAGAAGAATTCTTTGACGTCATCACGTTATGCGATTACCTGATGGTGATCAAAACATATTGTTGGAGAACGCGGCGAGGTTCTGAGTGGAGGACAACAGGCGAGAGTAAGTTTAGCTCGTGCAGTTTATGCTGAAGGAGATATTTATCTATTGGATGATCCGCTGAGTGCTGTCGATTTTAAAGTTGGCCAACATATCTTTAACAAATGCATCAAAGATTTACTAGGGGATAAAATCGTTCTGTTTGCCTCTCATCAGCAACAGCACATGGAAAATGCTGATGAAGTGATTGTGTTGTACAAAGGGCGTATCCTCGACAAGGGACGCTTTACTGAGCTGCACGAAAAAGGTGTTATCAATTCAACCGTTGACCCGCTTTATAAAACAGCTCTAAAGGACAAAACGGATTCATCTAAGCCGTTCTGCTGGGAAGATAAGGAGGAACACGATGATGCTGAAAAGTGCCAGATAATACATCCCCTGACGAATGAGGCGAAGAGTTTGGAGATAGCAAAAGAGGATCGGGCCATCGGAGTTGTGACATCCAGGCTTTATTGGGACTATTTCAGAAGTGGAGCACATCCTTTGATGATAACTGGAATGGTTGGTTTAAGTCTCATTACTCAAGGTAAACTTATTGTTAGAGTGAGTTACAAACCTTGGGTTAAGCCCTGATCTCTTTTATTCTATTTCGTGCAAATCATTTCACAATGACTATGCTTTTTACCAACAATACGCGTTGTTTTTTAGATTAGACGGTAGAGTTAAGAGACACTGCACAAATTTCTGACCATGTTCTTGATATCTCATTTGCTCGTACAAGTGCGACAAAGCGCGAGTGAATGGCGAGTAACGCGCGAAAGGAAGAGCCGGTGTTTCTCTACTCGCGTTTGCCTTGCACTTGTCTCCACTCGCCTGAAAAAGTTAAAAAACAAAAAAACAAAAAAACACTCGCTCTACAAACTAACTTTATGAGACCAAATGCAGTTTTCTTTCTTTATATGTAACATGGTTTACTGCTTCATTTTTTCTGTGACGTTGTGGTGTTTACAAAAACATTCCCAGAACACTAACGGTAGTAACTAATCCAGGCGAGTTGTTTCTGGGCCCAATAAATGTTACATTGTTCAGCCGAATGATCATATAGAAATACATTTCAACCACTACGTATCAATGATGTTTCTTTCAGCCTTCATAGCTGCTCCGGACTTGTGGCTCTCGTTTCTTGCAAGGCTAGACTCAGAGGATCAGAAGAACAAGACATATCTATCTGTCTTCGCCTGTCTGGTTGCCGCGTGTTTCACAGTCACTTTCGTTTGGGCTTATGGATTCTTGAATGTTTGTTTAAAGTGCGCCGAGCGTCTTCACGATAAAATGGTTGTGGCCATTTTACAAGCACCTGTCCTGTTCTTTGATTCAAATCCAGTGGGAAGAATCTTAAATCGCTTCTCCAATGATATTGGCTGCGTAGATGAGATGTTACCCAAAACATTCCTGACAACAGTGCAGATGCTCTTGGTGATATTTGCCCAAATTCTGGTAACAGTTGCCACAAATGTTTGGCTGGTGTTTATTGTTGTTCCAATTTCTGTGCTGGTCGGTTTTCAATCCAATTATTACTTGAAGACTGCCAGAGAACTAAAGAGGTTAGAGTCGATAACCCGAAGCCCAGTGTTCGCTCATTTTTCGGAGACCCTGATAGGACTGGATACGATTCGTACGAGAGGAAGACATACAGATTTTGTGGATGCACTTTACAGGTATGTGTGAGACATGGATTCAGTGTGTGATGGCAGAGCCGATAAATGCACAGAGCACAAATGAGTTATAATTTCTCATTTTGTATGAGGTATTTATTTTTTATCCACCGCCCATACACGAAATTGTATCACATGTCTCTTATGATCCTATCTGGTATGTGCTGAGACACTGGTCAGCAAGTGGACCTTTTCGTATACGAGGTACGGTCGCGGAGCGAAGCTATCCGAAAGAAGTATGAAGGGCATTACCAGTGGTAAGACTACAGTAATTGCTCTGTGTGGTTTTCGTCCTTCTCAGGATTTCAACAGACGCATAAGATGGACGGTCAATCATTAGGATCGCGCAACGCAGAAATTTCACGATTAATCAAAACTTTAATAAATCTATCGAATGTGATTGGTTATCACCGGTCCGACAGTGTAAGTGTCATGCTCGTAATTATTGTAATAGGACAGTTGACAAGACATGCCTGCGTGTAAGTGTATGCGCGCGCTGTTGTCGCGAATTTCGCTGAGTTTTTTTTTATGAAAACGTATAATTATTGTCTCTAATTTTCTCATAGTTTTAATTAATTATAAAGACAACGTCATGTCGTTCAATTCTGTCCTTAATAGTACTCGTGGTTAAAAATATCAGACTCCCGCTTAGCAGTCGTCCAATTTTGTTAATACACTCGTGTGATTACTGACCAAATTGGACTCCATTATGAGTTTAACAGGAAATACAGACAAGTGCCACTGTTCTTCTCCTTCTGATAAATGTTATACGTAATATGCAAGATGTAGTTGTGATAGTGAACAATTAAGAATTGGCTTTTTTGGAGAATTTACTATTTTCAATGGAAAAGTATCCATATCGTTAACAAATGCGACTCTAGCGGCTTACGTTATCTGGGCGAATGGAGAATATCTAAGAATGAGATGTGATTACAGAAATGATCTTTCGGACAGTTAGCTAGAAGCTTACGGATGTCTCTTGGAGAGTAACATCTTTTTAAGGGAGTGGGATGTCAGGCGGAATTTGTTGAAGGGCTCCGTTACATTGTCAGGCCGAAGGAGACTCTCGTCTCACTTCAGTGTGCAGGCCCGATGTAATCTCTCTGAGGGTTTTTTGGAGTGATTGTCTTAAAAAAAATACAATTTGATAATAACAAGATAATCAAAACAAAAGAAAAGATCACAGGTAGTGAAAGAGGACTTAACTTTTTATCAAGGAAACGGCATCGAGTGCAGAAAAACGCGTTCGACCAATAGGCCGTTGGTTTTGCGCAAGTTTACTGGACAAATCACTTAGTAAAGTAATACAAAGCTGATATAATTCGGTTTATTTTCAACAGTCAACTAAAAAAATCACTCCATTATTAAAACTTGTTGTGATAAAAACTGTTCCACTCAGATATCAAGATGTTCATAATCAGGCGTACATTATGGTGATGGCCAGCGGTAGGTGGCTTGGTGCACGTTTGGATTGTCTCGCTTCCTTGTTAGTCGGTGCAGTTGCTCTGGCTGCAATTTTGGTATCCCAAGATGCCGGTAAGCTCAAGATTCTAACGATTTTGAGTTTTTCTGTGTAAAGTAAGAATCTATATAGTCGTGTATTAACAAAGCATGAACAGCTGAATAATAAAATAACTGTGACTATACGTGCTCTCTCATGAACGGGTGGTTTTTAAAATCACGAAACAGAAAATGCGTTTCAAGAGAATCAACTTTTCGTTATATGTTTTGGCTTCGATAGGAAATAAGCTGAAGTCAAACTTTTAAGTTCCAATTTTTCTTTTCAGCTTACGCTGTCTTCTATGATTCAAACAGACTCAATACGCTGTTAGAAAAACTTCTGAAAATTGTGCTGATAACCTCCTCTTGACCGGGAGCCTATACAAGAACGAACGCCGCCAAAAGACTGGCCAAAACAACGATACTTTTGAGAAATGTGTCATTAACGAAAGAACATGTAAAAAGGACGCTTTATTTATTCATCTTTTGTAGCTTATTATGCCTGATGGTGATGGAGAGATAATCCGACGATGGACTAAAGAGATAGGCTAACAAGGAGGTAACTCGGTTCTTGTAAAGTCCTTTCTTTTAATATGTTTTGAGCTTTATCAAGAAAAACAGGTCCAACTGAAAGATTTTGTCGGGATAGAACTTAAGTTCTAATTTTTGCTTTTCAGCTTAAAATTGTCATCTTGACGAGCCAACTGCACATGTTGACCCAGACACAGAGCAGACGATTTGGAATGTAGTGCGGGACAAACTGAAGGAGTCCACTGTCATCACTATAGCCCACCGTTTGAACACGATAAAAGACTGTGAGAAGATTTTGGTCTTGAAAGATGGAAAAATTAAAGGACTTGACAAATTTGAGTCAGTAAATAACATTAAGTGATATGCCGCCAAGGTTGAAATACTTCGATTGTCACGCAAGTCTTGCAGAACATTAGATGTTATACAGATTATAATCTTCTCCAGAGCTCTAATTTTACACATTGGAAAAGAATTACATTTGATGTTTTGCTCGGTTTTGACTCCTATGCATTTTTAAAATTTCTCTGGCTGTCGTGTTTCGGGGTGTCACGCAACGTCCATTTTTCCGTGAGTCTGAAGTCAAATTATGGCAAGAACAGAAAAACCTGCAGACTAGGCGCAGGCGAGTGTGTCACTGATGTTCCTACTGCTCTATGACGTCCTCTGTGATCTATTAATGAACAGGCCCACCATAGCGCAGATTACATTTGTTTTATGTGATAAACAAAGCAAACTTTTTCTCATGTGGACGTCACTTATCCGTCTTTCCCCCAGCTGATCATAAGGAAAAAAACTAATGCAGATGCCTTAGGACCAATTTACGCGCGCCGCTCACCACCCAACGCAATGCACTCAAAAAACAAGACAGCAGTTTATTCAGAAATGGGAAACCGTTCAGCAGCCTAGCTATGTCCAGATTTAGGGCCGTATATCAGAGTAACAGGTTGTCATGTCAACAATCACTTTGGGTGTAAATTTAGATCTCCTCGGATGAGCATATAAACATCAATTCACGTTAGGTATAAATTAAGGTCTTCTTGGACAATCGGATAGAATGAGAGTAGATGCAGGTCTACGAGATAGCGGCACAGATTAGTTAAATTCCATGTAAGATAAATAACTCATTACAGTCTCTCCTAAACATATTACCTCAAAGATGAACAATCACTTATGCGTGACATAGCATTATCTGCTTTCGCGCGGACTTGAGACGCGTCCAAACTAACTTTTCTCAGAGAACTTTTCTACAATGTAACAGTAGTAGTAACCATAGGTTAAATAGTTGGAAACCATAGGCTTTGAAGGTGTGGGAAATGAGTGGAAACCTATTATTTACATCTGAAAGCCGCGAGCAAATAAACTATATTTTTAGTTCAAATGTGTACTGCATTAACCATAAAGCGTAACGTGGCACTATCTGCTTTCGCGTGTCGAAGTGCTCAGGAAATGCAGAAACAAATTTGACGGTTTAGTGTACGAAATGCTTTTTATAACAGCTTTAAAGCCAAATCTCAACGTGCAATCAGACTACATTCGGGCGAAAGTATTTTCATAATCTTCGCACTCTTTGATGTTAATTATTTCACGTTAATTATTCGCGCCAAAATCGCTTTAAATGCTGTAATTTGCATGATCTTATATATTTGTGAGGGTTAGGGTAACCCTAAGTAATTTAGATCTTGATAAAGGGGTCATGAACACTCCGAAACGTCGGAGTTTATGTTTCGTTTTTCGTCTTAATACACACTTGATTAAGACTAAGAAAAATCTCTCAATAAAATTAAATTAACGTTTATCTCCCAGAATCATTGTTAATAGTATTTTGGGCCTGAATATTTCTTAGGTAATGTAAAAGACATGCAATGTTAAAAAGAACGCGATCAGTGACTGAATCAACTCTTTCTCGCAGTTGCTGGTTTGGTTACATACAGCTGAACTTAGTGATCAAATGATAAACTGCTCGTAATCGTAGCGTAGCGTGCGTAGCTCACTTATAAAGATTATCTTCATTATCGAGCTGATAATAAGGACAGTGAGTAAACTGAACTGGCGGGAAAGAAATTCATTCGGAAATTCATTCAACCGCAAACAATGTTTAATAGTGCTGTCGGTTATGTCATAGCGAGCGGCATTACAGAGAAGTGTCTTTACGCAAACGAGGTTAAATGCGGAGCCTGTAAAGTTGGCTTACTCCTGGTAAGTTGATCATCATCAAAAATTTTGTCGAAGAACCCTCGCCATAATAAAAATGATAGTAGCATGCATTAATCAAAGGGATTAATTAGCGCCCTGAAAGTTACGGGTCGTTAAGGTGCTTGGTTTCTGCGTTTGTGCATTGGATACACTTGACTCTCAAAGTGCATCCCAGCACTAGGGAGTTTATTGATACCTATGATAAGACGAGGAAACCTTAGGAAAAGCGTAGGGTGAGTTGTAATCGCTCCCATGGAAAGCAGTGGTGTCTCAGAATAAAGGGAAAACGTCGAGAGGCTTCTGTCACTTTTGAGAAACGTTTTTGTTTTAAATTACTCTTATGCGAGGTTGAGTCCTGAATTAGCCCAAGTCAAGCTAAGGGCGATTGAAATTAAGGTCCAGTTTACTATACTCTTAGGAAATTATGGAAAGGACTTCAGAATCATAAAGAATGATTTGTCAAACTTATTTAGAGCGAAAGAATCTATGGCGCGGGATTATTCAGAGAACAACTGAACTCGAAAGTTCGAATTATGAACCATTAATTAAAGTCGCGTTACGGTCCATTCTTCAATGGACAAAATTTCCAGACAACATTTCCAAATTATTTGTAATCATAAAAAACGCAACGAATATTTTCCGCTCACACTGTAACAGTCGTCAACGGCAGCAGAGAAATTTGAATGGACCTTAATCATGTGCATAACAAGATCTTAGTTAAACCGTCAAAAAATTGAAAGAGCATTGATGTTATTGTTTTCACTAGCTCGGATGATTTGTCCACTAAAAAACCAAGTTAATTTTTGGAGTCGCTTGAAATTTCCAGACAAATATCTGATAAGTTTTAGAGGTTTTAAGGAGCCATTTAGTGGTACTTTGGAGAAAATTTCTGACCGCCGGGCATTTAGGATTTTCGAGACCGTGACCTGCAGTCTGATCAGAAGGGTCGACAACCGAGCGATATTATAGTTTACACAAGCTCGAAGAATTAGTCCACTGAAGGACCAAATTAATTTTTGGAATTATTAAGAGGCTTAAAATTTCTGAGCAAACATCTGATATACCTAAGAAGTTTGAAAGAACCTTAATTTCGGTTGAAATTCTGTGAGAAATTCTGACTGTCGGGCATTAAGTTTTCTTGAGACCGTGTCCGGCTGCCGGGCATTTAGTCATAGCGTTTTCGAAGTGCTCCGTTTTCGACTTGTTTTCCGTCCTCAGTCTCAAAATTTATATAGAAAATGCCCTTCTAAAACTTTCCAAACAAGTGCCCTTTCATTCAGCGTGGTGAAGATAGGGCCCTTGGGAAAATAAGGAGTCAATGTGGTAAACACCAATTTTGTGATCCTATTGTTTCAAAATATGACTGATCTGTCTCACTAAACATCGTCTAATCGATTTTTTTTCTATATTTAGAAATCTGTCTAAACCTCCTCGCTCGTGCAGTAGGTGTGGCCTGTAAATAGCAAGGAACGGCAATATTACCGGTATTTTGGCGAATTTCTGTCTAATGAGGTAAAGTTGCAAGGTAAGCTACAGAGAGTTGCAGCTTCCTCAAATTTTTATCGCACAGCCACTTGCAAACTTAATAGTTTTTACACGAAACTGTCAGTAAGATTCCATTCATATAGATTGCTATTACGCGGCCGATAACAGCTCTGTATCGACATTTTGCGTCTTGTATATGTAAAATTTTTCTAAAACTTTGATTGAGTGGGCTAGATCATAGGAGATGTTATGCTAAAACGCAGATTGTAGACTGCAGACCGTGCAAACCGCGCAGACCGTGCAGACCGCGCTTTGTCCGCTCGAGAATTTCGAATGTTACAGTTCGCGAGACACTGAGAAATTCATTCATGACCTATCACGCAATATTACGCGGTCATTTTCTCGCTTATGAAATCTATTTTACGTCTCGGTGGACGTTAAATGACCGATGAAACACATTCCGTGCCTGTGGCTTCTCAGGTCAAAAAGTGATTCGAACTCGTGGTCGAAGGTGAAGAATTAGAAGACCAGGCGTCGACGCAGGAAACAGAGGAGTTTAATGTTTGCACTTTATATTAACAAAAAGTCAAAAATTCTGGTCCACTCCTCTCCTGGTTATGTTGGCGTTGATTAGTTAAAATTATTAATTTATTTTTGTGATTAATAAGTTTCTCATGTATGTGACAAGTTCTTGCTTATAGGAGACTGGAAGGAAAGCGGAATCGCGAAAAATTGTTGAAACTCCATTCGGAATGAAAATTTGGCTCTTTGCCGCTTCTTCAAATAATTACAAGATATTGTTCACCCGTTATTTGGTCTCCATGTAGAGGGAGCCTGGAACTCAACAGGCTCACCCAGGCGAGGGGATCAATTTTGGCCGGCCGCGCGCAAATATCCCGCGCAAAATTTCAAACAAAAATGAGGGAAGGAAGCGCTGTCACGCAAACTATGCTAAGAAACTTAAACGTTCATAAAGAGTAGGGGAAGGAAAACTCGACACTTTTCGATCACAAAGCTTATACAATGCCGGGTCTCGTGATTATTTAACATTTTGTTTTAGGCTATATCATTTTAGGCTATATAAAAGTCATGAGGTTCTACAAAACACCGTGACTTATTGGATTTTATGAAAGTTTATAACCCCTAGAAGGCAACCTGGTTTTGAAATACTGGAACAATATGCGGAGACGTCTGACCATTGCGTTGAACATACTAATAATGGCTAAGTATTTTGTAGGTCTCAAGTGATGGCACCAAAAGGCGGTTACAGGAAAATCTCTGGTGATGAAGATAAAAAAGTCAGTTTTGTATCTTCTCTTTTTTTTCGTTGGATGAACGGAGTCCTCAAGGAGGGCAGTCAAAGACCTTTGGATCGAAATGACTTTTTACCATTGTCAGACGAGACCTCTGGCCGTTTTGTCACCGACAAGCTTCAGAAGATCTGGGAGAGCGAGAAACATCATTGCAAGATGAATGGGAAACGGCCCAAACTTTGGAAAAGCGTGTTTGATATGCTTTCTGTCAAAGATGTTATCATCATTTTGACGGGGAATGTATTGTTTACAACTTCTCGCCTTCTCCTTCCTCTGTTTCTCGGGTATCTTGTTTCTAAGCTTATGTCAACTGAGGCAGAGAATACTTATTGGCTCTACGCCTGCGCGTTAGCTATGTGTCTCAATGGTTTGATCGGTGGTCTTGGTATGCACCAGCAAGACTACAGATGTGAGATATTGGGGATCAAAATAGGAAGCGCCCTGAGGGGAATGGTGTACCACAAGGTAGGCACGATCCTAAAGAGTATTCTATGCATTTTTCAAAGGCTCAACCGATTTTTCTAATTCTCTAAACACCCAAATAAGCCGAACAAACTCGAACACATTTATTCATGTGATAAAGAATGATTTTTTCCAGAAATCTGATCGATTACAATCAGCTATGCCATATGGAGACCCAGGAGTAAAGGGTTATTAAACATCATGGCTGGCTTCTGCGAGAGCAAGCAATCCTACTCACCAATAAAAGCACCGAAGAAACAAACAGTTAATTAACCAGCAGTTAATGGGGAAGTAGGCTACAGAAATCATAACGTACAAGGCCGTGCTTTTCAGCGAGATTCAAAATGACGCCTGAGTTGTCGCTCTTTTTACACATTTTAAGATAATTTGGTAAAGGTTTGGATACTCTCGTCTCCAAACGCAACCACGGATATCTTTATGCCGGTGATTAATTAAAATCATATGGTTTATGGAACAAAATCTCTCCTTTAATGTCTAATCTGTACTCTCTTTCAGACGCTTCTACTCAGCAAGCAGACGTTACTGAAATTTACTGCAGGACGCTTATTCGACCTGATATCCAATGACGTTAAAAGAATGGAAGAAGAGACAGTTAAGTTTTTTGTCTTAGCCGTTTTGGCAGTCCCTGCTTGTGCAGGGGCAATATTCCTTATCTACAATTTGATTGGTTGGCAGGCTGTTACGGGTGTGTTCCTCCTGTGTATTCTCATGCCATACTTTGCCATCTTGTCCTATGCTAACGCTAAACTGCGTTTGCGCACAGCTGTAGTATCTGATCAGCGAATCTCCTTAATGAATCAAGTAGTTTCCGGGATCCGGGCGGTCAAAACACATGCGTGGGAGGACGAATATGGAGGAAGGATAAAACATGTAAGAAGGTAAGGTAAACTGTTAGTTTTTAACAAAAGTAGGCTAAAACAACTATCTTTATTCATTCCCTTAATTGTTGACCCAAATTATTCAAAATCCACAAATATGTTTTGTCTGAATTGAGAGCTTTATTAGCTAAGTAGTTTAAACCAGCCAAAAAAACAAAAAAGCTTTGGACCGCGGTATGAGCCAATCAGAATTCCTCTTTTCAAAAAGAGTAAGTGTCTCATATAACCCATATCATAGCCGCAGGACTGGCCGGTCAGTTAAAAAATATCAGCATATACTGAGTAGATAGTGTTGAAAGTGCACTCTGATATATAATTGGCTACTCAAACTCCGAATAGCCTTTTCAATTCACCTTCGAGCTACTCGCGTGGGATTTGCGCCCGAAAATATTGTAATCGTTTTTACCCTTAGTGTCGATGAAAGGGGGTTGGATATCACCTCCACTTCGGAGAATAATCGTTCATTATTATAGGTAGAACATGTCAATGAATCAAACTTGACTTCATTTGGTATTATTTTTCATACGCTGTCGTAAGGTCGCAAGAGACGCACTTTCACAAAGAACGACGAGGAAGGGTGCGGTTGCCGCCCGCTTACCTCGTTAATATTTCAAATTAGATATGATAACATTCAATGCCCACGTAACCTATGATAACCTTTTATCTTCAGAAATGAAATTAGCGTCATTTCCAAGAGGACAGCCATCCAGTCAAGTATCGATGCCTTGTTATACAGTGCAACACCACTGGCCACTCTGGTATCAGTAGTTACTATGCTGCTTACAGGCCAGACCCTCACGCCCGCGAATGTTTTCATGCTGCTGTCATTTATGGGTGTTTTAAAATTTATTGGCATGTTGGTTATGACGTCTGGTCTAATGGTAACGTATGACGCCTACGTTTCCCTCGGAAGAATCGAAGAATTCCTTCTTTTGGAAAATCTTTTGGAAGCCTCAGAGAGTGGTAAAAGCAACGAGCCACAACAAAAAGCGAAAAGGACCTCAGGAAGCCAAAGTCGCATTTACTTGAAAAAAGAAGCAGAAAATATGGAGAAAAGTTCCCTGTCTCGTGAAGCAACAGAATTAAGGCCTTCTAATCTATGTGTAACAAATTTCAGCTACGCAAAAACGCATCGTGAAGACGAATTTATTCTTGAGGGTGTCAACTTCTTTGCACCTTCAAATAGTTTAACAGTCATCACTGGCCCGGTTGGAAGTGGTAAGTCTACTCTGCTCTCAGCGATCGCTGGTGAAATTTCGAACGCCAGTGGGACGATTGATTATCAAGGTTCTGTCATTTACTTGCCTCAGACTGCTTGGGTGTTCTCGGGAACGATAAAAGAAAACATTCTTTTTGGCCAGCCCTTCGAGGAGTCCAAGTACGAAAGAATAATCGACGTCTGCGCTCTGAAAGAAGACTTTGAGCGGCTACCTGATGGTGATCAAACAGTTGTTGGAGAACGCGGCGAGGTTCTGAGTGGAGGACAACAGGCGAGAGTAAGTTTAGCTCGTGCAGTTTATGCTGAAGGAGATATTTATCTATTGGATGATCCACTGAGTGCTGTTGATGTTAAAGTTGGCCAACACATCTTTAACAAGTGCATAAAAGATCTATTAGGCGATAAAATCGTTCTGTTCGCCTCGCATCAGCAACAGCACATGGAAAATGCTGATGAAGTGATTGTGTTGTACAAAGGGCGTATCCTCGACAAGGGACGCTTTACTGAGCTGCACGAAAAAGGTGTTATCAATTCAACTGTTGACCCACTCTATGAAGCAGCTCTGAAGGACAAAACAGAGTCATCTTGGCCGTTCGGCTGGGAAGATAAGGAGCAACACGATGATGCTGAAAAGTGCAAGAAAATACATCCTCTGCCTAATGAAGCGAGGAGTTTGGAGATAGTAAAGGAGGATCGTACAGTCGGAGTTGTGACATCCAGGCTTTATTGGGACTATTTCAGAAGTGGAGCACATCCTTTGATGATAACTGGAATGGTTGGTTTAAGTCTCATTACACAAGGTAAACTTATTGTTAGGCTGAGTTAGAAACCTTGAGTCAGGCCCTAACAGGGAATACAGCAACCATTTTTCTATATTTCTTTTATTCTATTTCGTGCAAATCATTTGACAATGGCTATGCTTTTAACTAACAATACACGTTGTTTTTAGATTAGATGGTAGAGTTAAGAGACACTGCACAAATTTCTGACCTTGTTCCCGATATCTCATTTGCTCCTACAAGCACGAGGCAAGTGCGAGTCGAACGTGAATAGCGAGTCACGTCCTTGCGTTTGCATTGCACTTGCCTCCACTCGCTTGAAAAAGGTAAAAACTGAAAACTAATCGCTCTACAAACTAACTTTCTGAGACCGAATGTAGTTTTCTAACAATATTTAGGTGAAACATGGTTGACTGCTTTATTTATTCTGTGACGTTGTGGTGCTTGCATAAACATCCCCAAGGTATTAACGGTAGTAGCTAATCAAGGCTAGTTGTGTCTAGGCCCAATAAATCTTACAATGTACAACCGAGTGATCATATAGAAATACATTTCAACCACTACATATTAATGTTGTTTCTTTCAGCCATTATAGTTGCTCCAGACTTGTGGCTTTCGTTTCTTGCAAGGCTAAACCAAGAGGATCAGAAGAACAAGACTTATCTATCTGTCTTCGCCTGTCTGGTTGGCGCGTGTTTTATATTTACTATCGTTCGGGCTTATGGATTCTTCCATGTTTGTCTAAAGTGCGCCGAGCGCCTTCACGATAAAATGCTTGTCGCCATTTTACAAGCACCTGTCCTGTTCTTTGATTCAAATCCAGTGGGAAGAATCCTAAATCGCTTCTCCAATGATATTGGCTGCGTAGATGAGTTGTTACCTAAAACATTCCTGGCGGCAATGCAGATGCTCTTGGTGATATTTGCCCAAATTCTGGTAACAGTCGCCACAAATGTTTGGCTGGTGTTTCTTGTTGTTCCAATTTCCGTGCTGGTCGTTTTTCTATCCAATTATTACTTGAAGACTGCCAGAGAACTAAAGAGGTTAGAGTCGATATCCCGAAGCCCAGTGTTTGCTCATTTTTCGGAGACCCTGAGAGGACTGGACACGATTCGTACGAGAGGAAGACAGAGAGATTTTGTGGATGCACTGTACAGGTATGTTAGAGACATTGATTCAGGGTGTGGTGCCAGAGCCAATAAATGCACGGGGCACAAATGACTCATTATTCCTCATTTTCAGTGAGCTGTTTATTTTTATTTACCGGCAATACACGCAATTGCATCACGCTTTCTTTTGTAATCCTATCTGGTATGTGCTAAGACACTGGTCAGCGGGCAGTGGACCTTTCCGTACAAGGCACGGTTGCGAAACGAAGTTATCCAGTGGTGAGACTACAGTACTTGCTCTGTGGGGTTTTCGTTCTTCTGATGGGATTTCAACAGACTCATAATAGGAACGGTCAATCAACAAGATCGCGTAATGCAGAAATTTCACGATTAGTCAAAAGTGTAGCAAATGTATCGAACGTGATTGGTTATCACCAGCCCGATTAGAGAACTAATAGGACAGTGTAAGTGTCATGACGAGTCATGCCAGCGTGTAAGTGTATGCGCGCGCTGTTGTCGGGAATTTCGCGGTTTTTTTCATGAAAACGTATAACTGTTGTCTAGTTTCTTTCTTTACTTTGTCATAGTTTTGATTAATTGGTAAGAGAACGTCATGTCGTCCAATTTTGTCTTTAATAATACTCGTAATTAAAAATATCAGACTCCCGCTTCGCAGTCGTCCTTTGTTAATCTTTCGTATATTCACTGACCGAATTGGACTCCATTATGAATTTCTCCTTCTGATAAATGTTATACTTAGTATAAGAGATATAGTTGTGATAGTGAACAATTAAGAATTGGTTTTTTTTGAGAATTTACCATTTTTAATGGAAGAGTATCCATATCGTTAAAAAATTTGGCTTTAGCGGTTCTCACTTCATCTCGACGAATGGAGCATACCTAAGAATAAGATGTGGTTACGGAAAAGATCTTTCGGATACTTAGCAAGAGGCTTACGGATGTTGATTGGAGAGTAACATCTTTTTGAGAGGGTGGGGTGTCGGGCAAAATTTTTTGAAGGACTCCATTACATTGTCAGACCAAAGGAGACACTGGTCTCACTTCAGTTTGCAGATCCGACGTAATCTCTTTGAGTTTTTTTTCGGAGTGATTGTCGTAAAAAAAATGCAATTTAATAACAACAAGCTAATCAGAACCAAAGAAAAGATCACAAGTAGTGACAGAGGACTTAACTTAAAAACGAGGAAACGGCATTGAACGTTGACAAACGCGTTCGACTAATAGGTGGTTGGTTTTGCGCAATTTTGCTGGACCAATCACTTAGCAAAGTAATACAAAGCTCATACAATCCGGTTTATTGTCAACAGTCCACTAAAAAATCACTCTATTATTAAAACTTATTATGATTAAAACTCGTCCCCTCAGATATCAAGATGTTCATAATCAGGCGTACATTATGGTGATGGCCAGCGGGAGGTGGCTCGGTGCACGTTTGGATTGTCTCGCTTCCTTGTTAGTCGGTGCAGTTGCTCTGGCTGCAATCTTGGTATCTCAAGATGCTGGTAAGCTCAAGATTCTTAGTAAGGAACATTTTTTAATCTTTCTATGTAAAGAAAGAATTTATATAGTCGTGTATTAACACAGCATGAATAACTGAATAATTTTATGAAATAGGTGTAACTATACGTGCTCTGTCATCAACGGGTGGTTTCTAAACACAACAGAAAAGTTAGAGTCACTCGGCTGGCTTAATTGCTAAGCAAAGTTTGAAATGTCTTGTATGATTTAAAAGGGAAACTCGTGTTGATAACTCCTCTGCACCTACTAACCTTGGAGTCAAAACAACGACGCTGAGAAAGATGTAAAAAAGACGCGTTATTTATTCCCTCCTTTTAAGTGACTGCCTGGACCAAGCTAGGTAACGTAGCCTTGTAAAGTTTTTCCTTTCGTCATATGTTTTGAGCTATCGAGAGAAAACAAGTCCGGAATTTATAGATTAAAGTTCAATTTTTCTTTTCAGCTTACGCTGGTCTCGCTCTTGTTTACGTCATCCAAACTCTGAGCTCGACTCAATACGCTGTTAGAAAAACCTCTGAAGTGGAAAACTACATGACGTCAGTTGAACGAGTTATGACCTACACCCAACTCGATCAGGAGCCTGGATACGGGGAAGAACGAGCACCACCAAAAGACTGGCCTCGGAGAGGAAGTATTGTGTTGAGAGATGTATCATTGACATACTATCCAGGGGGACCTCAAGTGCTGAAGAACATCAATCTTAACATCAAAGGAGGAGCAAAGATCGGAGTTGCCGGCCGTACGGGAGCCGGGAAGTCATCTTTTGTAGCAGCTCTCATGCGCATGCCTGATGCTGATGGAAAGATAATCATCGACGATATTCCAATTAAAGAGATAGGCCTCCAACAAGCCCGACGAGGTATCTCGGTTCTTGGCCAAAGTCCTGTTCTTTTTAGCGGATCTTTGAGGAAAAATCTCGATATTTTAGACAAGTTTGAAGACGCTGAATTATGGCAGGCTTTAGAGGATGTGCAACTGAAAGATTTTGTCGAGAGGCTCGAGGCCAAGCTGGATCACGAACTTCTGGAACATGGCGCTAATGTGAGTGTCGGAGAGCGGCAGTTAATTTGCTTAGCTCGTGTGCTGCTACAGCGAAGTAAAATCGTCATCTTGGACGAGCCAACTGCGCATGTTGACCCAAACACAGAGCAGACGATTTGGAATGTAGTGCGGGACAAACTGAAGGAGTACACTGTGATCACTATAGCTCACCGTTTGAACACGATAAAAGACTGCGAGAAGATTCTGGTCTTGAAAGATGGAGAAGTTAAAGGATTTGACAGTTGTGACTCAATAATGAACATTAAGTGAGATGCGGTCTATTATATTGTGCGGTTTATAATCTTCTCCAGAGCTGGCATTTGATGTTGTTGTTCGGTTCTGGCTCCTTTATACTCCTATGCATCCTTAAAATCTCTCTCGCTGTCATGCTTTGTCAGGCAATGTCCAATTTGCCGTGGGTCTGTTCTATGATATATAGATTTAGCCAACCTAAAAGCGGAGCTCGCATCTTTTTTCCTGCACGTCTCAAGGGCACAACACCTTGCCCCGGCCAGGACTAGAAACCGGGTCGTCCGACTCGGAGCCCAGTGTACTGACCACTGGACTACTGAACAAAGCCGTGGTGTTGGCGTGCCCGCGGTACAGATGACCACGCATGTTGAAAGTAGCACCTTGTACGGTTGTACGGTCGTACGGTCGTACATCCAAATTTTTTCGGCTTGATGGGTTACTACTATTTTGTATAATTATGGGGCTACACTTTGCGAGCTCCGCTATTAAATCACAGACGAAGTCATAATGTGGTAAGAACAGCAAAACCAGTACACTAGGCGCAGGCGAGTGTGTCACTGAAGTTCCAACTGCTCTATGACCTCCTCTGTGATCTATTAAGGAACAGACCCACCGTAACATAGATAACATTTGTTTTATGTAATAAACAAAGCGAATTTTTTTTCATGTGGACGTCACTTATCCGTCTGTCCCCCAACTGATCATAAGTAAAAGACCAATGGAGATGCCCTGGGAACGACTTACGAGCGCCACTTACCACCCAACGCAATGCGCACAAGAAACAAGATAACAGTTTATTCAGAAATAGGAAACTGTTCAGCAGTCTAGCTATGTCCAGATTTAGGGTCCGATATCAGAGAGTAACAGGTTGTCATGTCAACATTCGCTTTGGGTATAAATTTAGATCTCCTCGGATGAGCATGTCAGCATTCACGTTGGGTAAAAATTAAGATCTCCAGCTTGATCATCCTGTTACGCGTGGAAACATCAAATGTTACTCACATATTCAAATAATTACCTGAATCAAAAGTTATATATTTTTGAATAACCTGCTTCCTTGAATTGTGCTCCAGAAATAATAAATGGTATGAGAAATGAAACTTTGTCTTGAATGTTAATTGCAACGGCAATCAAAACACCTGCGAAGCCATAACAACAATTACCTTTCCATGTAAACAAACCATAATGAAGCATGACAAGAATAAATTAATCTCACCCAGTTTGAATGTAGGATCCAAAATCTAATTACCGAAGCTTAGTGACCAGGCATTAGATCGGACGCGAACATCGGACACCTTTTTCAAATGTTCCCGCAGATAAGCCGCGCCCTCAATTTCTAGCGATGATTTTTGAAAAAAAGGTGCAGCTTATCTGCGGATTTTTTGGTAACTTACTGGTGAATAGGAAAAAGCTTAAAGCATTTTCACTGCTTCTGTCGTTCTAAATATTACATGTCAGTCACGCCACCAATTTCCCCTTTAACCCCTAAGAGTGACTAGCATCTAATTTCTCCCTATAAGATCACCTCTGAATCATCCGACTGCCAGGCCTCCTACATTGGTGAGACTGGTAGAAACCTTAACACGCGACTAACTGAACACAAACGAGCAACTAGAAATGGCGATGTAAACAATCACATTTCTGAACATCACCGACAAACTAATCACAGAATCGACTGGGACTCTGCTAAATGCTTAACGTACAGTACAAACTATTTTCAACGACTGACTCTGGAAAGCTGGTTCACTAACTTAGAACAGACGCCTCTCAACAGATGTCAACAATTACCAGCACCTTACAAACGACTCATTAACGACGTGAACGAACCGACAAACAGACCGACAAACAACAGACGGATCGAAACCGACCAATGACTGTTAACAAACTCTACACGAGTCTTCCAGCCAATCACATCACGGCTAAACAGACCAATCACGTTCAACAGACCAGACTTTATAACATCATCGACTGACAACTACTCCTCACTTGACTCTGAAGATGACTATCGCACAGATAGTCGAAACGTCAGTCACCAACAACAGTTCTTTTCAGAACTACACTCACCCGGACGATCACACTACACGAACTACTGATTACATTCTATTTGATAAAAAAACATGAAGGGCAATAGAGGAAATTAGCTGACACAATTCAAGTTTTCCTTCGCAAGTATTTTGTGATGTTTTTATCTATGATATGGATAAGTTTACAGTTTCCCTCATTTCACTGTCTTCTTTTCTTCTTTTCCTTTTCTTTTCTTTTTTTCACCTTTCTTCAGTAGGGCTCTCTCGGCATCGCTAAGGGACCTGGAAGATAAATTAATAACCCAGTTAGTTTTGTCAACATACGGTGTATCAACCGGTGACACAGCCGCCTGTATCCACGTGTAGCCAGGCTACGTGGACGATACCTTTACCATCCTGGATCGCGGAAAAGTGGATGACTTCTTACAGCATCTAAACAACCAGCAGCCTTCCATCCGCTTCACCATGGAAACAGAGAATGACAAAAAAACTCGCCTTCCATCTGTCATCTGTTCTGGTTTCTACTGATTATCCTCTTTTTCTTTCTTGCAGAAACTTATCGAGATCGGAAATCAAACAACAGTGCCGAACCCGCCAACGAGTTCAAAGCTACTGCGGTTTTACCCTATGTCAAAGGTCTGTCCGAACAGCTTCGCCGTTGCCTATCCCTGTGAATGCGGCAAGGTGTACAGCGGAGAGACTGGAAGACCCATGCAAGACAAAATTAAGGAGCACGATCGAGACAACCGACTCGCCCGTACCGAGACCGCCGCCGTTTCAGAGCATGCCCTCAACACCGGATACAAGCCACTCTGGAACGAAATAAAGTTCATCGATCGTGACCCTTATTACTACATGCGCAGGGTCAAAGAGGCAATTCATGTAAGACTTCACCCTGACAACATCAACAGGGATAGTGGAATCGAAATTCCAGAAGCGTGGATGCCCACGATCAAAAGACAACATGAGAGCCGTGGGACAGCGGACCGCCGAGGGAGTAAATCACTGAGTGAAACAGGAAGGTTCGAAATGCACCAATCAGAGCAGTTGAAAAAACAACTAATCACAGCAGAGCATCATGCTTTATAAGATCACACGAAGATTGGGAAAAACAAGGTTTGAATTTTTCTGGGCCTTAGCGTAAGAGAAAACCTAGATAAGACACGACTTACCTCCTCTCCTTTCTCGGATCCTTCGTGGTTCGCTTCTCTTTGTCGATGACCCCTTTTCATTCTGTTTTCTGGAAACCCTTTCTCCACGAACTTGAATTATAACAATTTCCTGCGGTTGAAAAAGCTTTAGTTCCGCCGGTGTGTTGCTTTGCGAGCTAATTAAAAGTTGCAAAGTACTGAGAATTACTGTTCAAATATAACCTCAGCTATTTTGATCTCCCGCTCAAAACGCATGTTGCTAATTATTTGCTTCACATTTATTAGCCCACGTGAACCTCTCGTGTAATGCTTAACAGTGTGCACGCCGCACGCTGCGCTTAGTATCGGCACTGGAGTATGAGCACTTCATTGGGATCTACCGTTGTCTCCAGGCACTAGCAGGGTATCCTATTAACACACACAATCGCGCCTGCGCATTACTTTCTCCTTCTCCCTTCCATTACGTACGTAATGGCTAAGATAGTGCCCGTAATGCAGTTAGCCGCGCATGCTAAAAGTAGCGCCTTGTATAGAGGCCTGTACGGTGTCAACTCCAATTTTTTTCGGCCATGGGTTACTTCTATTTTGTATATCTATGGGGTTACGCTGCGCGCGCTGTGACCTCCGCTACTACAGTATCTTCCAGACATTTACCTCAAAGAGGAGTTCAAAGCCTCCAGAAGCCCCCCTTACCCTACCACACCCCTTCACCTCTTACGCACAACAAGCTTTGTGTCACACATTTAGTTGTCCTGACAACTGAGCACGAGCACGTTGAATCGGAAGCTTATTCTGTAAGAGTTTGATACACATTATTTTCCTAACGGAGTTTTCTGTAGCATCGTTCCTCTTCATTTCCTCAAACCAATGTCGCCGCAATGGCCGGCAAGCGAACTTTTATGTAAGAGGCGAGGTTGAAGAGCAAAGCTTTACGTATCCTCATCAACGGTAAGCCATGTTTTTACTAATTGGCCGTCTAAAAGAGATTCTAAAGTAACATTTTGAGTTTTAGCCCTTCGTCAGAGCGAAGAAAATCACTTATGAATGTCAATCAAATTAAGAATCATTAACGTATAGTGCAGTTCCCACACTCTAGCAAACCACGAATTAATTTACAGTGATCATTTTGTGGACGACAGCGCCTTCACCTTCAGAATAGTACTTTTAAATCTACGTTTATCTCCCAGAGTCAATTTAAGAAGAAGTTTTGGGCGAGTTTTCGTAAACAAAGTGGTCTATTGTGACAAATCATGGCGTTTTTGTCGTTTTCAAGCGGTAAACCTGTTTCGAGCGGTAAACCCGCTATTCCCCGTGGATAACCACCAAATAATGGTTCTAATCGGTATCTTAAATTGCGAATTTACTGCACCAAGGTTTTACGGATGTAGAAAGGCTGCATTTTGATGCCTGTTTCGTGAACAGATAACATGATAAGTTTATTATCATCGACATTTGGTTGAGGAGCCCTTGTCATCATGAAAATTATCGTCGCATGCATTTGTCAAAGGGATGAATTAGCGCTGAAAGTTACGGGTCTTCAAGGTTCTTGCTTTCTGTGCTTATAAATTGAATACACTTCACTCTCAAAGTGCATCCCAGCAAAAAGGAGTACAATGATATCTACGGTATGACAGGGAAACCTTAGGAAAAGGGAAGGATGAGTTATAATCGCTCCCACGGAAAGCAGTGATAAGTCTAGAGGCTGATGTCACTTTTGAGGAACGTTTTTGTTTTAAATTATTTTTATGCGGGGGAGTCCAGAATCAGTGCAAGTCAAGTTCAGTGCGATTGAAATTAAGGTCCAGTTTACTATACTGCTAGAAAACTTTGAGAAGAACTTCAGACTTTTAATGAATGATTTGTCAAACTTATTAGAACGAAAGAATCTATGGCGCGGGACTATTCAGATAACAACTGAAGTCGAAAATTTCGATATGAACCATTAATTAAAGTCATATTGCGGTCCATTCTTCATTGGAAAAAATTTCCAAACAACATTTCCAAATTATTTCTAGCCAAAAAAAAGGAACGAATGTTTTCCGCTCACACTAAACCGCCAAAAAATTGAAAGAGCATTGATGTTAGCTTTTTCACTAGCTCGGAGAATTTGTCTACTAAAAAACCAAGTTAATTCTTATAATCGCATGACATTTCTAAAAAAACACTCTGATTCTCTTTAGAGGTTTCAAGGAACCATTTAGTGGCACTGTGGAGAAAATTTCTGAATGCCGGGCATTTAGCCTTTACGTGATCGTGCCTGGCAATCTGATTAGAAGCGTCGACAACCGAACAATATTACAAGTTCGAAGAATTTGTCCACTAAAAGAGCAAGATAATTTTTGGAATCGCTTAACAATTCTGAGAAAACATCTGATATTCCTACGAAGTTTGAAAGAACCTTAATTTCGGTGGAAATTCTGTGAAAAATTCTGACTGCCGGGCATTTCGTCGTCTTGAGAGGTCGTTATTAAAACATGGAATGACCTCAGTATATCCATCTAAAACCACCTACATCCACCTAAAACCACTAAAACCACCTAAAACCACGTTCAGAATACTATTTTTATCTTTTTGAGGCATTTTTGTGACAATTTTGTTGACAAATACGCACGGGAGATGTTGTCTTGTTTTGCAGGTTCCCATGACAGCTCGCATGAAAGTATTGGAAAAACACAAAGAGGGAAAAACACAAAGAAAATTGTTTACACAGAAACAGCAGCAAGGGCCTTAGGGCTTTTCGAGTAATATATAGACTACGTTTTCGAGGTCTGCTTTTCCTCAACGTCTGATAGAGGTCAACGGGACAACTTGTAGGTAGTGGGACATTTGATGAGGTTGCGTAATATAACATCAGCTGTGATGTGTTTCATTGATACGGACGCTCTTACGGTGTCAAGTCCAAACATTTTTCGGCTTGATGGGTTACTACTATTTTGTATAACTATGGGGCTACCCTTCGCGCGCTGCGAGCTCCGCTATCACAGTCTCTCCCCAACATTTTACATCAAAGAGAAGTTCAAAGGCTCCAGGAGCCCCCCCCCCTTACCCTACCACACCCTTACACCCCTTACGAACAGCGAGCTTAGTGTCACACACTACGTTGTCCTGACGACTGAGCAAGAGCATGTTGAATCGGAAGCTTATTCTTTAAGAGTTTGATACACATTATTTGCCAAACGGAGTTTTCTGTAGTATCGTTCCTCTTCATTTCCTCAAACCAATGTCTTCGCAATGGCCGGCAAGCGAACCTTTATGTAAGAGGCAAGGTTGAAGAGCAAAGCTTTACGTAACCTCATCAACGGTAAGCCATGTTTTTACTAATTGGCCGTCTAAAAGAGATTCTAAAGTAACATTTTGAGTTTTAGCCCTCCGTCAGAGCGAAGAAAATCACTTATAAATGTCAATCAAATTCAGAATAATTAACGTATAGTACAGTTCACAACACTCTAGCAAAACCACGAATTAATTTACAGTGATCATTTCACCATTAATTCGTGTCATTTTGTGGACGACAGCGCCTTCACCTTCAGAATACTACTTTTAAATCTACGTTTATCTCCCAGAGTCAATTTTACTAGAAGTTTTGGGCGCGCTTTTGTAAACAAAGTGGTCTATTATGACAAAACATGGCGTTTTTTTGTCGTTTTCCAACGGTCAACCTATTTTAAGCAGTAAACCCGTCATTCCCCGTGGGCTAATCCACGTTTATCTCCCAGACTCAATCTTAATAGAATGTTTGGGCGAGTTCTTCTTAACAAAGTGGTCTATTATGACAAAACATGGCGTTTTTTTGTCGTTTTCCAACAGTAAACTCGTTATTCCCCGTAGGTAACCACTAAATACCGGTTCGACTCGGTATCTTAAATTGCGAATTTAATGCGTCAAGATTTTACGGATGTAGACAAGCTGCATTTTGATGCCTGTTTCGTGAAAAGATAACTTGATAAGTTTATCATCATCAACATTTGGTTTAGTGAAGAGCCCTCGTCATGATGAAAATTATAGTCGCACGCATTTGTCAAAGGGATGAATTAGTGCTACGGGTCTTCAAGGTGCTTGGTTTCTGTGTTTATAAATTGAATACACTTCAATCTCAAAGTGCATCCCAGCAAAAGGGAGTACAATGATATTTACGGTATGACACGGAAACCTTAGGAGAAGGGAAGGGTGAGTTATAATCGCTCCCACGGAAAGCAGTGATAAATCTAGAGGCTGATGTCACTTTTGAGGAACGTTTTTGTTTTAAATTATTTTTCTGCGGGGGAGTCCAGAATCAGTGTAGGTCAAGTTTAGTGCGATTGAAATTAAGGTCCAGTTTACTATTCTGCTAGAAAACTATGAGGAGGACTTTAGACTTTCAATGAATGATTCAACAAACTTATTTGCAGTCCATTCTTCATTTTCAGACAATATTTCCAAATTATTTCTATCCGAAAAAAAAAAGGAACGAACGTTTTCCGCTCACGCTGCAACGGTCGTCAACGGCGGCAGATAGTTCGAATGGACCTTGATCATGTAATTACCAAGAGCTTAATTAAACCGCCAAAAAAATTGAAAGAGCATTGATGTTAGCTTTTTCACTAGCTCGGAGAATTTGTCTACTAAAAAACCAAGTTAATTTTTAGAATCGCTTGACATTTCTAAACAAACACTCTGATTCTCTTTAGAGGTTTCAAGGAACCATTCAGTGGCACTTTGGAGAAAATTTCTGACTTTCGGGCATTTAGCCTTTACGTGACCGTGCCTGGCAGTCTGATCAGAAGCGTCGACAACCCAACAATATTACAAGTTCGAAGAATTTGTCAACTAAAAGAGCAAGATAATTTTTGGAATCGCTTAACAATTCTAAGCAATCATCTGATATTCCTACGAAGTTTGAAAGAACCTTAATTTCGGTGGAAATTCTGTGAAAAATTCTGACTGACGAGTATTTCGTCGTCTTGAGGGGTCGTTATTAAAACATGGAATGACCTAGATCCATCTAAAACCACCTACAACCACTTAACACCACCTGAAACCACTTACGACCACGTTCAGAATACTATTTTTATCCTTTTGAGGCATTTTTGTGACAATTTTGTTGACAAATGTAAATACACACGGGAAATGCTGTATTGTTTTGCGGGTTCTCATCAGTAGCGAAAACTAATACCCCTGAAATTAAGTCACTGTCTGCGACATTTGCCCATCCAATGGCTCGCATTAAAGTATTGGAAAAACACAACGAGGGAAAAACACAAAGAAAATTGTTTACACAGGAACAGCGCCAAGAGTCCTAAGGCTTTTCGAGTAATACACAGACTATGTTTTAGAGGTCTGCTTTTTTCAACGTCTGACAGAGGTCAACGGAACACCTAGCAGGTAGTCGGAAATTTGATAAGGTTGCGTAAAATAACATCAGAGGTGATGTGTTACAGGGAAATCCGAACGATCCTAACCATCTGAAGTCGGGCTGCGGAGTAAGCGTGCAACCGTGCAGACCATACAGATCGTGCAGATCGCGCTTTGTTGGCTCCAGAATTTTGACTGTTTCATTTCGCGAGACACTGACAAATTCATTCACGACCTATCACGCAATCGTTTTACAGTATTATGCGGTTATTTTCAGCTTGAGAAAAAAATTACGTTTTCTCGCTTATGAAGTTTTATTTTACGCCCCAGTGGACGTGAAATGAAAGTAAAAAAAATTTGTTTTTTTTTTTTATGAGTAATAGTTTGTCATGTATGCGACAAGTTCTTGCTTATAGGAGACCCGAAGGAAATCGGGATGGTGAAAAATTGTGGAAACTCCATTCGGAGTGAAAAGTTGGTTCCACGCCGCTTCCTCAAATAATTGCAAGATAATGTTCCCCCGTTATTTGGTTTCTATCTAGAGGGAGCCTGGAACTCAACAGGCGCACCAAAGCAAGGGGATCAATTTTGGCCGGCCACGCGCAAATATCCCACGCAAAATTTTAAACAAAAACAAGGGCAGCTGACGTATTGAACCAATTGTTTTATAACATTTTCAACCCGAAGGAAAATTTTTTTCTCGAGGGATGTTTGCTGACGTCATGAGCGTGCACAATAGGAATATGAAGCACGCTCGCGCAATTGAATTTGTTTAGACAAATTTACTAGCTATGTTATAATTTGTTTTAGGCTATATAAAAGTCATGAGGTTCTACAAAACACGGTGACTTATTGGATTTTATGTAAGTTTACAACTCTTAGAGGGCAAGTTGGTTCCGAAATCCTGGAACAACATGCAAAGACATTTGGTCATTGCGTTAAACATGCTAATAATGGCTATGTATTTTGTAGGTCTCAAGTGATGGCACCAAAAAGCGGTTACATGAAAATCTCCGGTGATGAAGATAAAAAAGTCAGTTTTTATCTTTACTTTTTTTTCGTTGGATGAACGGAGTCCTTAAAAAGGGCAATCAAAGACCTTTGGATCAAAATGATTTTTTACCCTTGTCAGACGAGAACTCTGGCCGTTTTGTCACCGACAAGCTTCGAAAAAGCTGGGAAAGCGAGAAACATCATTGCAAGATGAATGGGAAAAGGCCCAAACTTTGGAAAAGCGTGTTTGATGTGCTTTCTGCCAAAGATGTTATCATCATTTTGACGGGGAATATATTGTGTACAACTTCTCGCCTTCTCTTTCCACTGTTTCTCGGGTATCTTGTTTCTAAGCTTATGTCAACTGAGGCAGAGAATAATTATCAACTCTACGCCTGCGCGTTAGCTATGTGTCTCAATGGTTTGATCGGTGGTCTTGGTGTGCACCAGCAAGACTACAGATGTGAAATATTGGGGATCAAAATAGGAAGCGCCCTCAGGGGACTGGTGTACCACAAGGTAGGCACGATCCTAAAGAGCATTCTATGCATTTTTCGAAGGCTAAACCGATTTTTCTAATACCCTTAACACCCCAAATTAAGCCGAACAAACTTGAACATAAGTATCTATCCAATATAGAATGATTTTTTCTAAAAATCTCATCGACTGCAATCGGCTTATGCCATGGAGACATAGAAGGAGAGGGTTATTAAACATCATCGCTGGTTGCTGCTTCTGCGAGAGAAAGAAACAAAGAGTTATTTACTCTGCAGTTCAGTAGGCTACAGAAACCATAATGTATACGACCGCCCTTCTGAACGAGACTCAAAATGAGTTGTCGCTCTTTTTACACATTTAAAGATAATTTGGTAGAGGTCTGGTTACTCTCGTCTCGAAACGTAGTCACGGACATCTTTATGCAGAAGATTAAACTCATATGGTTTATGGAACCTTTTTCTTCTTTAATGTTTAACCTGTACTTTCTTTCAGACGCTTCTACTCAGTAAGCAGACGTTACTTAGATTTACTGCAGGACGCGTATTCGATCTGATATCCAATGATGTTAAAAGAATGGAAGAAGAGACAGTCAAGTTTTTTTTCTCAGCCGTTTTCGCAGTTCCTGCCTATGCAGGGGCAATATTCCTTATCTACAATTTGATTGGTTGGCAGGCTGTTACGGGTGTGTTCCTCATGTGTGTTCTCATGCCATACTTTGCCGTCTTGTCTTATGCTAATGCTAAGCTGCGCTTGCGCACAGCTACAGTATCCGATGAGCGAATCTCCCTAATGAATCAAGTAGTTTCCGGGATCCGCGCGGTCAAAATGCATGCGTGGGAGGACGAATATGGACGAAAGATAAAAACATGTGTTTTGTCTGAGGGTAATTAGCTAAGGTTTAAACCAGCCAAAAAAAAAAAAAAAGCTATCATCTTCAGAATCCTCTTTTCAAAAGTAGGTCTCCAAACAACATAGCCGCAGGACTGGCTTCAAAAAAATTCATTCCCGTAATTGTTGACCCAAATCATTCAAACCCCGGAAATAGATAACCACTTCATTAGCTAGGCAGTTTAAACATGCCCCCCCCCTCCAAAAAAAAGTCTTTGGACCGCTGTATGAGCCAATAAGAATGCCTTTTTTCACAAAAAATAAGTGTCTCTTGTAACCCATATCATAACCGCAGGACTGTTCGGTCAGTTAAAAAATATCAGTATATACTGAGTAGATAGTGTTAAAAACGCACTCTGATAATGATCAGCTACTCAAACTCCGAATAGCCTTTGCAATTCACCTTCGAGCGACTTGCGCGGGATTTGCGCCCAAAAATATTGTAATCGTTTTTACCTCAGTGTCGGTGAAAGGGGGTGGATATGACCTCTACTTCAGATAATAGTCGATCATTATTATAGAACATCCCATCAAGTCTAACTTGTCTTCAAGTTAGTATTATTTTTTATACGCTGTTATAAGGGTGCACTTGCAGCTCGCTCACCTCATTAATATTTCAAATTAGAGAGAACACTGACAACGAGCTGGTTCGACAGAATGCCCACATAACTTATGATAACCTTCTATCTTCAGAAATGAAATCAGGGTCATTTCGAAGAGGGCAGCCATTCAGTCAAGTATCGATGCCTTGTTATACAGTGCAACGCCATTGGCCACTCTGGTGTCAGTAATTACTATGGTACTTACTGGTCAGACCCTCACGCCCGCCAATGTTTTTATGCTGCTGTCGTTTATGGGTGTTATAAAATTGAGTGGCATGTTGAATATGACAGATGGTTTAATGGTAACGTACGACGCCTACGTTTCGCTCGGAAGAATCGAAGAATTCCTTCTTTTGGAAAATCTGCTAGAAGCCTCGGAGAGTGATGAAAGCAACGAGCCCCAACAAAAAGCGAAAAGTACCTCAAGTAACCAAAGTCGTAGTAACTTGAAAAAAGAAGAGGAAAATACGGAGAAAGTTTCCCTCCCTCGTGAAGCAACAGAAATAGGGCCCACTATACTATGTGTGTCAAATTTAAGCTACGTAAAAACACATCGTGAAGATAAATTTATTCTCGAGGGTGTCAACTTCTTTGCACCTTCAAATAGTTTAACAGTCATCACCGGCCCGGTTGGAAGTGGTAAGTCTACTCTGCTCTCAGCGATCGCTGGTGAAATTTCGAACGCCAGTGGGACGATTGATTATCAAGGTTCTGTCATTTACTTGCCTCAGACTGCTTGGGTGTTCTCGGGAACGATAAAAGAAAACATTCTTTTTGGCCAGCCCTTCGAGGAGTCCAAGTACGAAAGAATAATCGACGTCTGTGCTCTGAAAGAAGACTTTGAGCGGCTACCTGATGGTGATCAAACAGTTGTTGGAGAACGCGGCGAGGTTCTGAGTGGAGGACAACAGGCGAGAGTAAGTTTAGCTCGTGCAGTTTATTCTGACGGAGATATTTATCTATTGGATGATCCACTGAGTGCTGTCGATCTTAAAGTTGGACAACACATCTTTAACAAATGCATCAAAGATCTCCTAGGGGATAAAATCGTTCTGTTTGCCTCTCATCAGCAACAGCACATGGAAAATGCTGATCAAGTCATTGTGTTGTACAAAGGGCGTGTCATCGACAAGGGACGCTTTACTGAGCTGCACGAAAAAGGTGTTATCAATTCAACCGTTGACCCGCTCTATAAAGCAGCTCTGAAAGACAAAACGGATCCATCTGAGCCGTTCTGCTGGAAAGATAAGGAGGAACACGATGATAATGAAAAGTGCCAGATAATACATCCCCTGCCCAACGAAGCAAAGAGTTTGGAGATAGCAAAGGAGGATCGGGCAATCGGTGTTGTGACATCCAAGCTTTATTGGGACTATTTCAGAAGTGGAGCACATCCTTTGATGATAACTGGAATGGTTGGTTTAAGTCTCATTACTCAAGGTAAACTTATTATTAGAGTGAGTTACCTTGGGTCAGGCCCTAATTTCTTTTATTCTATTTCGTGTAAATCATTTCACAATAACTATGCTTTTTACCAACAATACGCGTTATTTTTAGATTAGATGGTAGAGTTAAGAGACACTGCACAAATTTCTGACCATGTTCTTAATAACTCACTCGTACAAGCGCGAGGCAAGCGCGAAGAATGGCGAGTCACGCGCGAAAGGGAGAGGTGGTGTTTTTCTCCTCGCGTTTGCCTTACACTCGTCTCCACTCGCCTGAAAAAAGTTTAAAAGAAAAAAAACTTGCTCTGCAAACTAACTTTATGAGACCAAATGCAGTTTTCTAACAACATTTATATGTAACATGGTTGACTGCTTCATTTTTTCTGTGGCGTTGTGATGTTTACAAAAACATTCCTAGGATTTAGTAGTAACTAATCCAGGCGAGTTGTCTCTGGGCCCAATAGATCTTACAATGTTCAACTGAATGATCACATAGAAACACATTTCAACCACTACATATTAATGATGTTTCTTTCAGCCATCATAGCTGCTCCAGACTTGTGGCTCTCGTTTCTTGCAAGGTTAAACTCTGAGGATCAGAAGAACAAGACATATCTATCTGTCTTCGCATGTTTGGTCGGTGCGTGTTTCACATTTACCATCGTTTGGGCTTATGGATTCTTGAATGTTTGTCTAAAGTGCGCCGAGCGCCTTCACGATAAAATGGTTGTGGCCATTTTACAAGCACCTGTCCTGTTCTTTGATTCAAATCCAGTGGGAAGAATCCTAAATCGCTTCTCCAATGATATTGGCTGCGTAGATGAGTTGTTACCCAAAACATTCCTGACGACAATGCAGATGCTCTTGGTGATATTTGCCCAAATTCTGGTAACAGTTTCCACAAATGTTTGGCTGATGTTTCTTGTTGTTCCAATTTCCGTGCTAGTCGTTTTTCTATCCAATTATTACTTAAAGACTGCCAGAGAACTAAAGAGGTTAGAGTCGATATCCCGAAGCCCAGTGTTTGCTCATTTTTCGGAGACCCTGAGAGGACTGGACACGATTCGTACGAGAGGAAGACAGACAGATTTTGTGGATGCACTTTACAGGTATGTGTGAGACATTGATTCAGTGTGTGGTGTCAGAGCCGATAAATGCACAGGGCACAAATGAGTTATAATTGCTCATTTTCTATGAGGTATTTATTTTTTATCTACCGCCTATAAACGAAATTGTATCACGTGTCTCTTGTGATCCTATCTGGTATGTGCTGAGACACTGGTCAGCAAGTGGACCTTTCCGTATACGAGGCACGGTCGCGGAGCGAAGCTATCCGAAAGAAGCACGAAGGGCATTACCAGTGGTAAGACTACAGTAATTGCTCTGTGTGGTTTTCGATCTTCTGATAGGGTTTCAACAGACACATAATATGGACGGTCAATCATTAAGATCGCGCAACGCAGAAATTTCACGATTAATCAAAACTTTAACAAATTTATCGAATGTGATTTGTTATCACTGGTCCGACAGTGTAAGTGTCATGCTCGTAATTAATCAGTGTAATAGGACAGTTGACAAGACACGCATGCGTGTAAGCGTATGCGCGCGCTGTTGTCGCGAATTTCGCTGAGTATTTTTTATGAAAACGTATAATCGTTGTCTAGTTTCTTTCTCTAACTTTGTCATAGTTTTGATTAATTTTAAAGACAACGTCATGTCGTTCAATTCTGTCCTTAATAGTACTCGTGGTTAAAAAATCAGACTCCCGCTTAGCAGTCGTCCAATTTTGTTAATACACTCGTGTGATTACTGACCAAATTGGACTCCATTATGAGTTTAACAGAAAATTCAGTCAAGTGCCACTCGTCTTCTCCTTCTGATAAATATTATACGTAATATGCAAGATGTAGTTGTGATAGTGAACAATCAAGAATTGGCTTTTTTGGAGAATTTACCATTTTTAATGGAAAAGTATTCATATCGTTAACAAATTCGGCTCTAGCGGCTTTTACTTTATCTGGGCGATGGAAAATAGCTAAGAATGAGATTTGGTTCCGGAAATGATCTTTCGGACAGTTAGCTAGAAGCTTACAGATGTTTCTTGGAGAGTAACATCTTTTTAAGGGAGTAGGGTGTCGGGCGGAATTTGTTGAAGGGCTCCGTTACATTGTCAGGCCGAAGGAGACTCTGGTCTCACTTCGGTGTGCAGACCCAATGTAATCTATTTGAGGTTTTTTTGGAGTGATTTTCTTAAAAAATACTATTTGATGATAACAAGCCAATGAAAACAAAAGAAAAGATCACAAGTAGTGAAAGAGGACTTAACTTTTTAACAAGGAAGCGGCAAGGAGCGCTGTAAAACGCGTTCGACCAATAGGCGGTTGGTTTTGCGCAAGTTTGCCGAAAAAATCACTCATTAAAGTTATACAAAGTTGATACCATTCGGTTTTCTTGTCAGCAATCAATTGAAAAACCCCTCCATTATTTAACTTGTTATGATAAAAACTCGTCCCCGCAGTTATCAAGATGTTCATAATCAGGCGTACATTATGGTGATGGCCAGCGGTAGGTGGCTCGGTACACGTTTGGATTGTCTCGCTTCCTTGTTAGTCGGTGCAGTTGCTGTGGCTGCAATCTTGGTATCTCAAGATGCCGGTAAGCTTAAGATTCTTAGTAACGATTTTGAGTCTTTGTATGTAAAGTAAGAATCTATATAGTCGTGTATTAACACAGCATAAACAGCTGCATAATAATATTAGTATGAATATACGTGCTCTGTTATTAACGGGTGGTTTTTAAACACGACAGAAACGTGAGAGTCACTCGGGTGGCTAAAGTGCTAAGAAAACTATCCAGGCTAGGTAACCTAGCTCTGTAAAGTTTTCGTTATATGTATATGGACTTAAGTTCCAATTTTTCTTTTCAGCTTACGCTGGTCTCGCTCTTGTGTACGTCATCCAAACTCTGACCATGACTCAATACGCTGTTAGAAAAACTTCTGAAGTGGAAAAGTACATGACGTCAGTTGAGCGAGTTATGACCTACACTAAACTTGACCGGGAGCCTGGATACAAGGAAGAACGAACACCCCCAAAAGACTGGCCTCGGAAAGGAAGTATTGTTTTGAGAAATGTGTCATTGACGCACTATTCAGGGGGGCCTCAAGTGCTGAAGAACATCAATCTTAGCATCCTAAGGAGGAGCAAAGATCGGAGTGGCCGGCCGAACGGGAGCTGGGAAGTCATCTTTTGTAGCAGCTCTCATGCGCATGCCTGATAGTGATGGAGAGATAATCATCGACGATGTTTCAATTAAAGAGATAGACCTCCAAGAAGCCCGACGAGGTATCTCGGTTCTTGGCCAAAGTCCTGTTCTTTTTAGCGGATCTTTGAGGAAAAATCTCGACGTTTTAGACAAGTTTCAAGACGCTGAAATATGGCAGGCTTTAGAGGATGTGCAACTGAAAGAATTTGTCGGGAGGCTTGACGCCAAGCTGGATCACGAACTGCTGGAACATGGCGCTAATTTGAGTGTCGGAGAGCGGCAGTTAATTTGCTTGGCTCGTGTGCTGCTACAACGAAGTAAAATCGTCGTCTTGGACGAGCCAACTGCACATGTTGACCCAGACACAGAGCAGACGATTTGGAATGTAGTGCGGGACAAACTGAAGGAATCCACTGTCATCACTATAGCCCACCGTTTGAACACGATAAAAGACTGTGAGAAGATTTTGGTCTTGAAAGATGGAAAATTTAAAGGATTTGACAAATTTGATTCAATAATGAACAATAAGTGATAAGCGTTCTAAGGTTGAAATACTTCGACTGTCACGCATGTCCTGCAGAACATTAGAAGTTATACAGATTATAATCTTCTCCAGAGCTCTAATTTTACACATTGGAAAATAATTACATTTGATGTTTTGCTCGGTTTTGACTCCAATGCATCTTTAAAATTTCTCTCGCTGTCATGTTTCGGGGTGTCACGCAACGTCCATTTTCCCGTGGGTCTGAAGTCATATTATGGTAAGAACAGAAAAACTGGCACACTAGGCGCAGGCGAGTGCGTCACTGATGTTCCTACTGCTCTATTACGTCCTCTGTGATCTATTAATGAACAGACCCACCATAGCGTAGATTACATTTGTTTTATGTGATAAACAAAGCAAAATTTTTCTCATGTGGACGTCAATTATCCGTCTGTCCCCCAGATGATCATATGTAAAAAACCAATGTAGATGCCTTAGGACCAACTTACGTGCGCCGCTTACCACCCAACGCAATGCACTCAAGAAACAAGATAGCAGTTTATTCAGAAATAGGAAACCGTTCACCAGCGTAGCTATGTCCAGATTTAGGGCCATATATCAGAGTGTAATGGGTGTAAATTTAGATCTCCTCGGGTGAGCATATAAACATTAATTCACGTTGGGTATAAATTTAGATTTTCTCGGACAAGCGGATAGAATGAGAGGAGATGCAGGTCTACGAGATAGCGGCACAGATTAGTTAAATTCCATGTAAGATAAATAACTCATTACAGTCTCTTTTAAACATATTACCTCAAAGATGAATAATCACTTATAGCATTATCTGCTTTCGCGCGGACTTGAGACGCGTCCAAACTAACTTTTCTCAGAAAACTTTTCCACAATGTAGTGGTAGTAGTAACCATAGGTTAAATAGTTGGAAACCATAGGCTTTGAAGGTGTGGGCAATGGGTGGCGGGAAAACCTATTATTTACATCTGAAAGCCGCGAGCAAATAAACTATATTTTTAGTTCAAATGTGCATTGCATTAACCATAAAGCGTGACGTGGCACTATCTGCTTTCGTGTATCGAAGTGCTCAGGAAATGCAGAAACAAATTTGACGGTCTAGTGTACGAAATGCTTTTTATAACAGCTTTAAAGCCGAATCTCAACGTGCAATCAGACTCCATTCGGGCGAAAGTATTTTCATAATCTTCGCACCCTTTGATGTTAATCTTTCACGTTAATTATTCGCGCCAAAATCGCTTTAAATGCTGTAATTTGCATGATCTTAAATATTTGTGAGGGTTAGGATAACCCTAAGCAATTTAGACCTTGATGAAGGGGTCATGAACACTCCGCAACGTCGGAATTTATGTTTCGTTTTTCGTCTAAATACGCACTTGATTAAGACTAAGAAAAATCTCTCAATAAAATTAAATTAACGTTTATCTCCCAGAATCATTGTTAATAGTATTTTGGGCGTGAACATTTCTTGGGTAATGGGAATCTCAACGTGCAATCAGACTCCATTCGGGCGAAAGTATTTTCATAATCTTCGCACCCTTTGATGTTAATCTTTCACGTTAATTATTCGCGCCAAAATCGCTTTAAATGCTGTAATTTGCATGATCTTAAATATTTGTGAGGGTTAGGATAACCCTAAGCAATTTAGACCTTGATGAAGGGGTCATGAACACTCCGAAACGTGGGAATTTATGTTTCGTTTTTCGTCTAAATACGCACTTGATTAAGACTAAGAAAAATCTCTCAATAAAATTAAATTAACGTTTATCTCCCAGAATCATTGTTAATAGTATTTTGGGCGTAAATATATTTTTGGGTAATGTAAAAGACACGCAATGTTAAAAAGCACGCGATCAGTGACTGAATCAACTCTTTCTCGCAGTTGCTGGTTTGGTTACATACAGCTAAACTTAGTGATCAAATGATAAACTGCTCGTAATCGTGTGCGTAGCTCACTTATAAAGATTATCTTCACTATCGAGCCGATAATAAGGACAGTGAGTAAACTGAAATGGCGGGAAAGAAATTCAACTGAAGAACCTCTTAATTGTTAAACAAATTCTCCGTGCCAGCACATCTGGAAATGTATAGAGAACAGTATGGAGAATATGCATACTGATGTTGGGGTGTAAAGGGACATCATGTAATCAGTTTTATATTTTTAGAGTTTTGCTTGAATATGTGATTGCGGTAAGTGCAAGTGCCTAGTAAACATCATTCTACGGTCATCTACTCTTCCACCTTGGAGGGTGCCTTGTGTACACAAAAATTGAAGTTCAGTGCCTTTAGTAGCTTTTTCGGCTACAAAGATCTACAAAGATCGACAAAGAACAACAGCCACGCCAAAAAATATTTTTCATGAAAGACACCTCTACAATGGTAGGTATACACAACTGACATGTTTGAGTAAAGCATGTCTAGCATTAAGGTGTGATTGTCAGTTTGCTTTTCATTACTTGCAAACAGCTTTTTTCTATTAGCTTTGAAAATTTCTGTATCCTCGCTTTCGAAGAAAATCATTTCCCACGAACGTTTAAACATCAAAGACATAAGCTACCAGCAACAGGTTTTTCCATTGTTTCATAACATCAGATTCTCTTCACATTTTTTTGTTATATTTAAAAAGCATAAGAAATTTGTAATCATTACAATATAATGAAATCCCCCATTTTAACTGTTTTCGTCCCACTAGTGACCTTTACAGAATTTCTCCTTACAGCAGACGAGTAATGAGAAAAAAGAAAAATATAAATTAGGGAGAGTTGGTTGATCCAAATCCAAATTCTCCAACCTAACATCACATAAATTGTATGGCAGACAGTAAAGAGAATTACTAATGATATCTTGAAAGTTAAAGGGTTATATAATCATATGTACCAGGAAGACAGCAAATAAATGTAACATACTTCAGTAAAGTGTTCTTATGTACAATGAAGTTTCAAACTCATTGAAGTTAAGTTGACGTCATGATTCAGATTTTAGTTTAAGAAATGTGTAATATCTCTTTACATGGATGAAAACAGCGGAAACCGGACTCTCCATGGTGGCGTTGTCTTTTTGCTCGTAAATCAATCCGTTATACTGGAAGTACGTGGATCTCAATACGAAGGTCAAAAGGTCAGCGATCTGTGCAGGCGTTAGCGTGGTGCGGTCTGCAAAGCAAGGGCCATTCTCGAGTTTCTGCAGTGCGGCTTGTACAGCGGCGTCGATAGGAACGTTGGTAAACAGCGACTCTACGTCGAAAGATACCATGATCCCGTTGTCTAGGATCGTCTCATTGCTGACGGTGGATACGAAGGGAGCTGAATTGGTTACCATTTACTCTGAGTTTCCTGTTAAAGGAGACAAGATGTTGGTTAGGTAAGCGGATAAATCATATGCAAAGGTGTTTGCGCACGACACAATAGGTCTTAGCGGTACATCGGCCTTATGAATCTTCGGTAAGCCGTTGATTCTAGGCGGCTGTTTGTGTCGGGGTCTGATCTTGTTGCAAAGGTATCCAGTTACCTCGCCACCAAGCAGACTCGCCACCAGCGAACTCGCCACCAAGGAACGATCTCGCCACCAACGTACTCGCCACCAAGCGAAGTCTTCTCGCCACCAATCACCAATAAAGAGATTAGTCGAGGAGAGTAGGATGTTCGGCTGATAAGTTTGTTCGCTTGTCTGTACTCAAACTTTATAAACGTATGTTGTCAAAAGCACGTTCGAAACCGATAAGTTTGTTCGCTTGTCTGTACTCAAACTTTATAAACGTATGTTGTCGAAAGCACGTTCGAAACCGATAAGTTTGTTCGCTTGTCTATACACAAAGTTACCTGAACGGCCCGGCGACCAGAACCTGAAGCAGAACCTGGAACATCAAAAAACGGCTCTTTTAGGAGCCACCGCGCCCTGGTTGCGTCTTTAGGACGTTTCCAGGTCGCTAAAAATGGCTCTTTTAGGAGCCGCCACATCTGCAAAAGTCATGATCAACATATGAGCTGCTCTTCTAGATTTAATATTCAATAAAGTTTGTTGTTATTTTGCCGCGGGGAAACTGGGTAATATAATTCGACCGAATATTGAATAAGTTCCCTTAACAACATCAAAGACGTCGAAATTTGCATACAGATAAGTAAACAAACTCGTGAGTCGATTCGTTCGAACTTATAACATCACAGACGTCGAAATTTTCATACAAATAAGCAAACAAACTCAGGAATCGATTGGTTCGAACTGTTAACTCTCCTTGGGAAACAACTGTAGTTGCCTTAGGAAAGCTTCAGTCCGTCGACGCTTACAATTTCTCGCACCGACTTGACAATTTCTCGCATCTAGTTTTAATACAACTGCTATCGAGTTTCATTTCATCTCTTATTTCTTCCCATGAAGTTTCATTTTCTCTCAAGTAAGTTTTTATTCCTCGCATCGAGTTTTGCAATTTCTCCTCGCTTACGTGCAAAAGACAAACACGATACGTTTCGATGTCAATGAGTTAGGAACGGAACACATCTAACACGTCGCTGAAGGTCATGATTTAAATACAGACAAGCGCACAAACGTATCGGCCGATTTGAATTGTGCTCGTTCGAACATCCTACTCTCCTCGACTACTTTATTCTAGTTTATCTCTTTATTGGTGGTTGGTGGCGAGAAGACTTCGCTTGGTGGCGAGTACGTTGGTGGCGAGATCGTTCCTTGGTGGCGAGTTCGCTGGTGGCGAGTCTCCCTGGTGGCGAGGTAACCGGTAACCGTTGCAAACGGCGTTTGATAGATATCCGCTTCGCTTCAAGGTAAGCAGCTTTTCCGACAACTTGCAAGTCAGACAGTCTGTCGGATCTTTATTGAGGAGCTGGTACGGTCCGTTCTCAATAAGCGTAGACATCTTAGCTCGGTAGGTGTCGGTATCCATGACTACGCTAGCGCGCCCTTTGTGTACTGGGAGAACCATGATGGACGCGTCTTCTTTCAGACTTTTAAGTGTATCTCGCATCTCCTTCGTGATGTTAGCCTCTGGTGGTTCTGCCTGTTGAAGGATACCGTTAACAGCTCTTCTAACAGTATCTGCTTGTTCGGCGCCGAGTAGTCTTACGGCTGCTTCGACCTTGGCGATGATCTCTGTGGCAGGAATATTCGCAGGAGTTACGGTGAAGTTCAGTCCTTTCTTCAGTAGGGCTTTCTCAGCATCGCTAAGGGACCTAGAAGATAAATTAATAACCCAGTTAGTTTTGTCAACATACGGTGTATCAACCGGTGACACAGCCGCCTGTATCCACGTGTAGCCAGGCTACGTGGACGATATCTTTACCATCCTGGATCACGGAAACGTGGATGACTTCTTACAGCATCTAAACAATCAGCAGCCTTCCCGGACACCGCAGTTTTAAGAGAACCTGACGGCTGCCTCACCACCAGCGTATACGGGAGGCCCACGCACACCGATTAATACTTAGCGTATGATTCACACCACCCTCGATCAGTAAAACGCGGTATTGTTAAGTGCCTTTACGAGCACGCCAAACGTCTCGTAACAAAACCCTCTGTCATCTCCAAGGAGGAAAAAACATCTGTCATCTGTTCTGGTTTCTAATGATTATCCTTTTTTTTTCTTTTTTGCAGGAACTTACCGAGATCGGAAAACCAAACAACGGTGCCGAACCCGCCAACGAGTTCAAAGCTACTGCGGTTTTACCTTATGTCAAAGGTCTGTCTGAACAGCTTCGCCGTTGCCTATCCTTGTGAATGCGGCAAGGTGAACATCGGAGAGACTGGAAGACCCATGCAAGACAAAATTAAGGAGCACGATCGAGACATTCGACCCGCCCGTACCGAGACCGCCGCCGTTTCAGAGCATGCCTACAACACCGGACACAAGCCACTCTGGAACGAAATAAAGTTTATTGATCGTGACCCTTATTACTACATGCGCAGGGTCAAAGAGGCAATTCATGTAAGAATTCACCCTGACAACATCAACAGGGATAGTGGAATCGAAATTCCAGAAGCGTGGATGCCCACGATCAACAAACACAACAACAGCAGAGCCGTGGGACAGCGGACCGCTGAGGGAGTAAATCACTGAGTGAAACAGGAAGGTTCGAAATGCACCAATCAGAGCAGTTGAAAAAACAACTAATCACAGCAGAGCATCATGCTTTATAAGATCACACGAAGATTGGGAAAAACAAGGTTTGAATTTTTCTGGGCCTTAGAGAAAGAGAAAAGCCAGATAAGACACGACTCACCTCCTCTTCTTTCTCAGATCCTTCGTGGTTCGCTTCTCTTTGTTGATGACCCCTTTTCAGTCTGTTTTCTGGAAACCCTTTGTCCACGAACTTGAATTATAACAATTTCCTGCGGTTGAAAAAGCTTTAGTTCTGCCGGTGTGTTGCTTTGCGAGCTAATTAAAAGCTGCAAAACACTGAGAATTACTGTTCAAATACAACCTCAGCTATTTTGATCTCCCGCTCAAACGCATGTTGCTAATTATTTGCTTACGCATCCTCACATTAATTAGCCCACGTGAACCTCTTGTGTAATGCCTAACAGTGTGCGCGCAGTACCCTGCGCTTAGTATCGGCACTGAAGTATGAGCACTTCATTGGGATCTACAGTTGTCTCCTAGCACCTGGCACTAGCGGGGTATCCTATTAACGCACACAATCGCGCCTGCGCATTACTTTCTCCTTCTCCCTTCCATAACGTAATGGCTAAGATAGTGCCTGCAATGCAGTCAGCCGCGCATGCTAAAAGTAGCAGCTTGTGCGGAGGCCCGTACAGTGTCAAATCGAACTTGTTTTAGGCTATGGGTTACTATTATTTTGTATAACTATGGAGCTACGCTGCGCGCGCTGTGTCAAAGAGGAGTTCAAAAGCTCCGGAAGCCCCCCCTTACCCTACCACACCCCCTCACCTCTTACGAACAGCGAACTTTGTGTCACACATTTAGTTGTCCTGACAACTGAGCACAAGCACGTTGAATCGGAAGCTTATTCTGTAGGAGTTTGATACACATTATTTTCCTGACGGAGTTTTCTGTAGCATCGTTCCTCTTTATTTCCTCAAACCAATGTCGCCGCAATGGCCGGCAAGCGAACCTTTATGTAAGAGGCAAGGTTAAAGAGCAAAGCTTTACGTATCCTCATCAACGGTAAGCCATGTTTTTACTAATTGGCCGTCTAAAAGAGATTCTAAAGTAACGTTCTGAGTTTTAGCTCTTCGTCAGAGCGAAGAAAATCACATATAAATGTAAATCAAATTAAGAATAATTAACGTATCGTACAGTTCCCAACACTCTAGCAAAACCACGAAGTAATTTACAGTGATCATTTTGTGGACGACAGCGCCTTCACCTTCAGAATACTACTTCTAAGTCCACGTTTATCTCCCAGAGTCAATTTTAGTAGAATTTTTGGTGGGTTTTTTTTAAACAAAGTGGTCTATTATGACAAAACATTGCGTTTTTTGTCGTTTTCAAGCGGTAAACCTGTTTCGAGCGGTAAACCCGTTATTCCCCGTGGATAACCACTAAATGATGGTTCTACTCGGTATCTTAAATTGCGAATTTTCTGCGCCAAGGTTTTACGGATGTAGACAAGCTGCATTTTGATGCCTGTTTCGTGAACAGATAACATGATAAGTTTATTATCATCAACATTTGGTTGAGGAGCCCTCGTCAGGATGAAAATTATCGTCGCACGCATTTATCAAAGGGATGAATTAGCGCTTAAAGTTAAGGGTCTTCAAGGTGCTTGGTTTCTGTGTTTATAAATTGAATACACTTCACTCTCAAAGTGCATCCCAGCAAAAGGGAGTACAATGACATCTACGGTATGACAGGGAAACCTTAGGAAAAGGGGAGGGTGAGTAATAATCGCTCCCACGGAAAGCAGTGATAAGTCTAGAGGGTGATGTCACTTTTGAGGAACGTTTTTGTTTTAAATAATTTTTATGCGGGGCAGTCCAGAATCAGTGCAAGTTAAGTTTAGTGCGATTGAAATTAAGGTCCAGTTTACTATACTGCTAGAAAACTTTGAGCAGAACTTCAGACTTTTAATGAACGATTTGTCAAACTTATTAGAACGAAAAAATGTATGGCGCGGGACTATTCAGATAACAACTGAAGCCGAAAATTTCGTTATGAACCATTAATTAAAGTCATGCTGCGGTTCATTCCTCATTGGAAAAAATTTCCAGACAACATTTCCATATTATTTCTAGCCGAAAAAAAAAGGAATGTTTTCCGCTCACATTACAACGGTCGTCACCGGCGGCAGACAGATTTGAATGGACCTTGATCATGTAATTACCAAGAGCTTAATTAAACCGCCAAAAAATTGAAAGAGCATTGATGTTAGCTTTTTCACTAGCTCGGAGAATTTGTCTACTAAAAAACCACGTTAATTTCTAGAATCGCATGACATTTTTAAACAAACACTCTGATTCTCTTTAGAGGTTTCAAGGAACCATTTAGTGGCACTTTGGAGAAAATCCCTGACTGCCGGGCATTTAGCGTTTACGTGGCCGTGCCCGGCAATCTGATCAGAAGCGTCGACAACCGAACAATATTACAAGCTCGAAGAATTTTCCACTAAAAGAGCAAGATAATTTTTGGAATCGCTTAACAATTCTGAGCAATCATCTGATATTCCTACGAAGTTTGAAAGAACCTTAATTTCGGTGGAAATTCTGTGAACAATTCTGACTGCCGGACATTTCGTCGTCTTGAGAGGTCGTTATTAAAACATGGAATGACCTAGATCCATCTAAAACCACCTACATCACCCTAAAACTACAAAAACCACCTGAAGCCACGTTCAGAATACTATTTTTATCCTTTTGAGGAATTTTTGTGACAATTTTGTTGACAAATACACACGGGAAATGTTGTCTTGTTATGCAGGTTCCCATTAATAACGAAAACCAATATTATTGATAATTAAGTCAGTGTCTGCGACATTTGCCCATCCAACGTCTCGCATGAAAGTATTGGAAAAAAAGAAAGAGGGAAAAACATAAAGAAAATTGTTTACTCACGAGCAGCAGGAAGAGCCTTAGGGCTTTTTGAGTAATATATAGACTACGTTTTCGAGGTAAGCGTTTTCGAGGTCTGCTATTTTCAACGTCTGATAGAGGTCAACGGAACACCTAGTAGGTAGTGGGAAATTTGATGAGGTTGCGTAATGTAACATCAGCTGTGATGTGTTTCATTGATACGGACACTCGAACAGTGTCAAGTCCAAACATTTTTCGGCTTGATGGGTTACTACTATTTTGTATAACTATGGGGCTACCTTTCGCGCGCTGCGAGCTCCGCTATCACAGTTTCTCCCGAACATTTTACATCAAAGAGGAGTTGAAAGGCTCCAGGAGCCCTCCCCCCCCCTTACCACCACACCCTTACACCCCTTACGAACAGCGAGCTTAGTGTCACACACTTCGTTGTCCTGACGACTGAGCGAGAGCATGTTGATTCGGAGGCTTATTCTGTAAGAGTTTGATAAACATTATTATCCTAACGCAGTTTTCTGTAGCATCGTTCCTCTTTATTTCCTCAAACCAATGTCGCCGCAATGGCCGGCAAGCGAACCTTTATGTAAAAGGCAAGGTTGAAGAGCAAAGCTTTACGTATCCTTATCAACGGTAAGCCATGTTTTTACTAATTGGCCGTCTAAAAGAGATTCTAAATTAACGTTCTGAGTTTTAGCCCTTCGTCAGAGCGAAGAAAATCACATATAAATGTAAATCAAATTAAGAATAATTAACGTATCGTACAGTTCCCAACACTCTAGCAAAACCACGAAGTAATTTACAGTGATCATTTTGTGGACGACAGCGCCTTCACCTTCAGAATACTACTTTTAAGTCCTCGTTTATCTCCCAGAGTCAATTTTAGTAGAATTTTTGGGTGAGTTTTGTAAACAAAGTGGTCTACTATGAAAAAACATGGCGTTATTCTGTCGTTTTCCAACGGTCAACTTATTTTAATCAGTA